AGGGCAGGCACTTTCAAAAATGCTTGGCAGGTGACTGGATGAACCATCTGTCTGTCACTGTCTGTTACGGGCTAACTTCAGTCAGGAGAAGAGCAAAAACATCTTTTCCATTGAAAAAGCCTTGTGTCTTTCTTTGCTCACTCTCTCTCTGACTAGCTCTTTGTTTACTTTCCTCACTTCCGTTTTTCTTCTTGTGCACTGAACTGAACTGCAAATCAGAGTGATTTCATTCCCCGACGCTGATTCAACATCCTACATCGGTCACACAAAAAAAAAGCCAACTTGGGCCAGCAAGGGGCAACAGTGCGAGATACACCGCACTGACTAGGGCAACAGACACTCACTGACAGCCTGACATTGACCCATGGGCAACCGTGCACTTGGTGTGTCAGGGCCTTCAAGTTTGGTGTTTTGACCGTCACCATCTTGAAAATTTTGGAGCCAGACGTGACCATATGTGGACAAAAGGCTGGAGCTGTGGAGGACTGAGATGTCAATCTGACTCATAGCCTAAGTCAAGCCTTAATAAAATGTAAATGGGTGCCTTATATAAATATTCACCCCTCTACAGTTGTCATGAATGTTGAGATTAGTAATTGAGAACAAAACCATTTTTTCCACCCCCCATTCCTATATTCTACCCATCCGTGGGGATTGACTCGCTTTTGGAGTCAGCCTCTAATGGCAGTTTGTGGAACTGCAGTTTTTGGCATTTCAGCATTGGCTTCATTTTTCAGCTCCGGGCGTCACTGCTTAGTTTCTTCACACACACACATACACCGATAGCACGCCCATAGCTGCCAGTGCGCTGATTACAAATGCATTACTTGAAGCCTGACCCTGTGATCTTGTTATCCTGTGTCGCTTCTCATGTGATGTCGCGAAAATCCAGCTGCCGTGCAGGGTTATCAGATCCCACCCCTGTTTGCAGACACGGTCTGACGAACCTGTAACAGCTGCTATTCCAATGACAAGATAATGATCCCTCACTGGCTTCCCATCAGCAAACACTGCCACACTGAACCTGTTGTATTTACCCTTATGCCACCTGTGCACCAGCAAAACTGTTATTATTACTATTGACACAGCACTAAATATGGTATCTACCTAACTAAATGGCATTACATTTCTTTAATAACACCTCTCATTCATGAGTTGAACAAACCTTTATGGCTTGGAACATGACTCTGGACTTTGGACTGGCGAGGCTTGACTCTTGGTTGTGGTAAAACAAACACCTGACCCCACCTCTGGATTACAACAATCCTGTTGCTATTGTGTTGAATAGAAATCCATGTCAAACCTGTCATGTCGAAGCAAGGACAGGTCACACAAACCATGCTGGATTATCATTCATGTGTTCAAGACTTCATGGCAAAAGGTAGACCATATCTCCAAAACCTTCTAACCAATTTCAACTCAACTGTTGGACAAGGGCGTTGAAGTTAATAGACTGATTCAACAACTGGTATTATTACAACACTGGATGTAAAAACCTGACTTGCAGCATGTGTGATGAGTGCAGCCTTCTTGGGGCTTTCCCCTCTGGCTGACTAACTGTGACGTAGTTGAGGGTGTGTGTCCTGGTCCGTGTGAGTGTAGTGGGAGGGAGGGGGTGGGAGAGACAGCTGTGCAGGCTAGATATGTAGTTAACAGTAGGAAGCATTCATACTACACATTCTGCTGCAGTGTGTCACCAGACAGTCTCTCTCTCTCTCTCTCTCTCTCTCTCTCTCTCTCTCTCTCTCTCTCTCTCTCTCTCTCTCTCCTTCCCTCTTCGTACCACTCTTTTTCCCTTCACTTCTCTCTTCTGTCTGTCTCCCGCTTCTCCCACACACTCCCACATACGTGCCTGTGTGCATGTGCAATCATTCACACACACATACGTGCACTTTTCCCTCTCCTTCTGTCCCCTCCCCCAGCCACAGACTCCCCCTCTCCCTCCCTCCCTAAAGTTTCCCGCTATAGTAAATGAAGTCGTATCTCAATGACTGCTCCCACTTTTACCACCGTTTCCTCCTTCTTTCTGTGGAACTGTGCTTATTCCTGGATTACACCTCACCCACACATGTACAAACACACATCCTCCTTTCCTGTGAAAAAAAAAAAAGTAGAGAAAACAAGAAGAAGTTGCTTCAAGGACAACGTAAAGCTGTTCTCGCCTCTCCCAGACGGGGTGTGTCAAGGCTTTTGTCTGTCTGATGCCGTATTAAATATCGGAGTTAAAAGGAGGGGTGGGGGGCTGTGTGTGTGCATGTGTGTAAAAGTCTCCGGGGGTTTTTTTGTTTTGTTTTTTTTTGTTCTTTAGAGAGAAAGAATGTTGGCATGAAGCTAGCCACCAGGGGAGGAGGAGAAGGTCGGAGTGCTCAAGTGCTGCTCCAGGTTTGTTTCATTTCATTTGCTCTGTAATGAGTCTTGTTACTGCTGTGAGAGGCAGAAGGGAGATCTGACTGGGGAGTTCAAAGTTAAGCCACAGGGAGGGAGGAAAGGAGGGAAGGAAAAGAAAGAACATACAAGCCAACAAGCCCTCACTTGAAAACTTTTGGAGACACGAAAAGATAAACTTTTTTATTTCCTTATTCCTTTCTTCCTCTTCCTGCTCCAACTCCTCCTCCTCCTCCTCCTCCTCCTCCTCCTCCTTCGCTGCCCCACACCCTTCTCAAATGAACCCTCTCTGAAAAGAAACTGAAGCAGAGGAGCTCGCAAGAGGTCTGAAAAAGTTGGCTGCGTCTGTGCATGACTGTGCGTCTGTGTGTCTACTGGAGTGTGTATGCTTCTCAGAGAGTGTGTGTCTGTGTGCCTCTGTGTGTGTGTGTGTGTGTGTGTGTGTGTGTGTGTGTGTGTGTGTGTGTGTGTGTGTGTGCGCGCGCCTAGGTCTGTGTGGGAATGATTACATCAGCCTGCTGCAGCCTTATGATTGGTTGGTGAGCGTGTGGTTTGATTCAGTGTGCCTCGGAGCCCGTGGCTGAGGCTGTAACCCTTTGTGAGGGGGAGAGAGAGAGGGAGAGGGAGAGGGAGGGAGAGAAAGAAAGATAGTTGTCAGACTCAGCCGGCACTGGAAGCACTGTACTGTACCTGCTGCCATCCGATCACTGACTGTCTCTGTGTCTCTGTCCTGTGAGCCTTACAGACAGCGGCTTTAGGTCACACAGACATTTTTTTTTTTTTATTTTTTTTTTTTTTAAAGACAGAGCTGGCGGCCTAGATAGACTGAAGGACTAGTCTGCAGGCTATGTGACAGGTAGCACAACTGTCAACTGTCGGAAGTCAAATTTGTACCTTTCTTTCTGGAGGAGACATAACAGCAAGCTTTTCAGTTTAAGTGACTGTGTGTGACTGAGTGTGTGTGTGTGTGTGTGGGGGAGCCAGGCTCACTCCAAAAATGCCTTCGTGTTCCCCGGACTGCTGCCTATTGCGGGCCGTGGAGGTAAGACCGCTTTCTCATGTCTCTTATCTCTCCTTGTGTGTCTCTGCCTCTCTTTGCCTCCTTCTCTCTCTTTTTTTTCTTTAAATGCTCAGACCATTTCTCTTTGAAGTACTGCTATGATTAACCAGAGGCGAGATTGTGTAAATACCTCAAAGGCTCAAGGACAATTTGTCTTTTTTCGAAAGATGTGAGCAGAGCATTTAAAAAAAAAAAAAAAAGAGTCAAATACGTCAGCGGCTTTGAATGATTGAGGCTCCCCTTGCCTTTTCGTCTTGAACATTTTGGACGGATAAGAGCGCCTCAGGCCTGGTTTGTGCAAACTGTGATGCTGTAAGAGGCATCTTTTGCTCAAGAAAGACAACAGAATTTCTTTGTCATGATACATTATGTGGGAAGTCTGCATACATGACATGTGTAGGCTTAGTAGGCTTGGATTCCTGTGTAGGCTAACAAGGCTGGATTCCTCTGCAGGTTCAGTAGGCTGCTCTAGTTTTCTCTGTGGGCCATTACATGTGAATGTGGTTCCTTTTGAAAGGATAACCTGTGGATATAGATTTAGGACTATTGATCGCAATAGAAAGGACAGATATCTCCTGGATTTTTGTTGCTCTCTAACAGTACGTAATGATATACAAGAAAATGTGGACATATTTTACACGGATGAGATCTTAGAGTGGAGTTTAACCTACTCAGGGTATGATGCACTGTTGCTACACAGCATCTACATCACACTGGACAGATCAGTAGTGGCTCAATATGTGTGTGAGTACGTGTGTGAGTCAGTCTTATTAATGGAAACCGCTGTCATTCATGGATTGGATCATTACTGGCCTAATTTTAACATATCAAGTTGTGGAAAAAAGAACTTGTGTGCATGAATTTAAAGCAAAATCAGTGGTCGTGTCTTATCTCTGGATGGATGCATACATTTTTTTGATAAGCTATAATTGGAAACTCCATTCTTACTTCCTCCTAAGATGCATTACAGTATACTATATCCACTGGGTGTAGACAGCCCTGCTTTGTGTTTACAAGAGCAGACGCTTGTTATACACTACGGTATATTTGCTTCTATGTTACACCAACAAGTTGCTATAAGAAATGCTTGTCTGTGATTTCTAACACCACAATTGCTACACAGTTTTGATTGTCTGTTCTTTTCTATTGTGTGCTGTAATTACAGGCCTGTGTATGCTATAGTGGAGCGGGTGCTATATGATAAATACTGTGCTACTGTTGGAGGAAAATAGCTGGCTTCACCCACCTATTAGGCTTGAGTTTTCAAAAATGGTTTGTGTGAGATGACTTTATCACAAGTTAGTATTCCCTGTGAGGCTAACATTGAAAAAATCATATTTAAAGTGTCATCTTATTCTAAAATTATCCTGCGCAGATGGAAAGGTCTATCAGTCTTTCGCTTCATTTTATCATCAAGGACACCTTAAGACTGATTTAGAAGCATTTTGTTCTCTTGTCATTTTTTATAGAAACACTTCAGTCTCAAGTTTGCCAAGCTACCTCGACATGATCTCTGTCTACTTTAAGTGAACTCTGATGTATTCTCTCCCCACAGATTGTGAAGATTTTCAGTGAAGATGGCATGGGGAAAGTGGTGGAGATCCCAGCCGACATGACAGCCAGGGACCTGTGCCAGCTTCTGGTTTATAAAAGCCATTGTTTGGACGACAACAGTTGGGCACTTGTTGAACACCACCCGCTGCTAGGGCTAGGTAAGGGGCAGAGCCCTGCTGCAGGCCTGAAACACTGTTCACACACACACACACACATACACACACAAAAGCACACATGAACTGACACTCTCTCACACACACACTCACATACCTACACAGAAACTCATGGATTTTTGGGTGGGCTGAGACATGCAATACAATCACTGACAAACACAGGTGCATTCATATATATGTATGCATGCATGCCCGCATACTCGGGGAGACAGTTCAGGCGCATATTCTCACGCAGGCATGTATTCAAGCATGAGTGCATGCACATACTATACAGCATATGCACGCACAGAGCCATAATGTCCAGTGATCTAATCAAGTCCAACACAGTGGCTGTGTAAAAAGCTCCCGTAGTGTAGCAGTGCAGTGTGGTGCAGACGAGGCAGGGGTATGTTATCTCATGAAAAACGGAGACAGACATCGAGCACACACACTGAGTTGCTTGTCGTTGAGAAATATGTAGGTTAAACGTATCGATGAGGTCAGAGTTGCTTTAGCATCGACAGGCCAATGATTGTTTGACTCAATCGTGAACAGACAACTGAAAGCAAGGTAAAAAGAAAAGCACTTGCAAGATACATGAGCTGTTGGGGCGTCGGTGGCTTAGTGGTAGAGCAGGCGCCCCATGTACAAGGCTGTTGCCGCAGCGGCCCGGGTTCGACTCCAGCCTGTGGCCCTTTGCTGCATGTCACTCCCTCTCTCTCTCTCCCCCTTTCACACTTGTCTGTTCTATCAAATAAAGGCTTAAAAATGCCCAAAAAAAAAAAATCTTTAAAAAAAGATACCTGAGCTGTATCTATGCATTTGTAGGACAGATGAAACAGTTGCTGTTGTCATCATGAAATCTGATGCCAATAACAGGTGTGTTGACATTAGTTAAAGTATTGTCCTGCAATTCAGTCATACGAGTTATATAGGGCTGATGAAGATTCCAGCTTCAGTGTATAATATGCTTGAATAAGACTAAAAAATGATGTGTGTTTAAGCTCCAGGTTTCCTAAAGTCACTGCACGCAGGTAAACAGCAGAATTACTGTAAGTGGAGACAGTGTTTCCCAGGGGCTCTTATTAAAGTTTACTTACACTGGAGGACAGAAACTCTCTTTGGTCCACACTCATAAATTAAACAAACACAGCAACTGATAAATGTAACTGCCCTGAAGCCTACATCTTGACATTCATTTGGGCAATACAGAGTAGTTTAATATGGTTTTTATGCTTTATGCAGAGGACGGAGAGTGTCGTATATGGTATCTGACTTCCTTCACTGATATTTTTAACTTGTGCACTCATTTAAGGTCACGAGACAGCTTGGAATCAGGTCTTTTTAGGACTCCGAATTAAAAACAATATCATATTCGGTATGGACAAGGATCCAGGATAGTTCCACTTGCAGATTATTCTGCGTCCTGAGCTACTTTTTAGGGATAATTGTCATACTGAAGATTAAATTGTGATGTTTTCTCCTCAAATCGGGATTACACAAAGGGCTCAGTGTAGAAGCAGGTAGATTAGAAGCTAAGGGAAGAGAAGGTGATAATTGAAGGTTATGGATCAGGAGATGAAGCAATGTAACTGATGATTACTGTAACAAAACCTTTGCCAACCGGTGCTCCTCTCAGTGTCAGAGATGGTGTAATGTTATCGATCCAGTACCATAAATGACACGGCAGAGAGGTGATGGACATGATTGATGGAGAGTTTAAAAAGCTGTATTTCATGTTAAAGGTTCTTTAGATTGGGAGTTGTGATACCACGGCACTGACACCTCTCTCCTGAAAATAGAAGCCCCCGCCGCATCAGACGGAGACCTCAGGACTAATGTAGAGTAAAGAGGTCAAAATGGTGATGGCGGACCAACTCAGAAATGAGGAATAATATTTTGTGTAGAACATTAATTGTATTTTAGTTGGCCAGTTATTAGCAGTAGAGAGGTAGCATGTTATACAGCAGATTCTTCATAGATTTCTGTTGGAGTAAACACAGGTATCTGAGAAAGTTTGACTCGCTGTTTTGATAGTCTTGACCTCCAAATGTGGCACCAAACTGATGTGAGGAGAATGCTGGAAAGTAGAAAACTCATTGCTGCATTAAGAAGGAAGCATCTTTACGTTTTTGTCGGGGTGATTTTGTGTCAGACTTGGCAGTATTACAGTGAGTTTGGAAAGCTGTGGTCAGCTGAACGTTAGAAAACCCAACCTCCCCCTGAGGAGAGGGACGATTATAAAGCGCTTATGGAAGACAAGTTGAGCCTGTGCTCTGCGCTCATGTCTGTACAGTTTAACAGATGTGGGAGAGCAGTGGGCGTAGTTTTATATAGAGTAGTGTGCCCGGTAGTGAAACATACTGTCGAAGCAGAGACGGTAAGAAACGTGTAAAAACATTTGTTACAACTGTCAGCTTGTGTCAATATAATTTTGGCTGTTATGCTGTCAGACTTTTAGAAAACGTATTGTCCCCAAAGCTCTCACCTAATATTTCACCATCTATCACGATCTGATTACAGTTCTCATCAGCGCTGCCAGCACGCCTCTGCCAAATACAGTTAGGTCTGCTTGTTGTAAATGACATCATCTTTGGCCCGGAGTGACTCTATTCTATTATAGCCCTTCTTCTATTCTGGCGCACCTGTACTGCAACCGTATTCTTTCCAGGTCTGGAATAACTACTCATCGTATTTTATGTTTAGGAGTTCTCAGAAAATGAGATGTGATGAAGCGGCGGCATGCTGATGGGTCAAATTGAAGGGTTATGCGTTTGTCAGTACAGAACGAGTAACCGCCTGACTGAGTGTGTGTGTGTATGTGTTTGTAGATGTATGCACATTTGGATTTCTGTCTATAACGAAGCAGCAGTATATCTATGTTTGACATATTACAGTCATTTAGATATTTCAACCAATAATTTGACTTATTTGGAGCTGGTTGCTCTTCCTGTAGTTGACATATGTGGCTAGTTGCTTTTCAGTCTTAAACAGTGATTGTAATTGTGTTTAAATTAGTTCTCTGTCAAGTATGAATCATTTTTGTAGTGGTGTGTATACTGTATGTTGATGAAGCCATCTGAGAACCAGAAATGTGTTTGTAGGGGTGTACAGTATCTGCTGATATCTTGTATCTTACCAACCGTCCATAAATATAAGAGCCTTTTAAGTGTCAAAGTCTATTGTTAAGTGATAATTGCCTACAAGTAGAAACACATTTTTTGAGAAATCACTTGATATTTTTGAAAACATACATAAAATCAGGATGCGATGATCTGCAGTTTGAAATCCTTTTCGAAATATATTCAGCTGAATACAGTACAAAGACAAGATATTTAATATTCAGACTGATACAATTTTGTAACTTATTTTTCCGTACATATACACTCATTCTGGATTTGATTCCTGCAAAATATTTCAAAAAAAGTTGAGACAGAGGAAGGGGGGAAAATCACCGGAGGATCCATGTTATAGTATTGTTGCGATTTTAAATATGTTGCGATATGCTGAGTGACAGATTGCAGTTTAGTACCTTTTTTCAACTGTAAATTATGTTCCTAAAGGAAAACGTTGCCAAAATCTGTTTTATCGAGTAAGATAAAGTTTTCAATGTGTTCATCACACTTCAGCCATTTCCTTTGCAGCAGCAAAACATATTGTGGACTGAAAAAGCAATTGATTATATTATCCTAGTAGGCTACCTAACGTTTAATTTGTATTTATCATAGAGATTATTTCTAAAATGAAAAAATCAACACTTGGCACTGTGCAATGATACGATATTGCCACACAAAAATATTGCAATACTATGCTGTATTGATTTTATCCCCCACCCCTTGGCAAAAGCATGTTTACTGCTCTGTTACATCACCTTTTGTCTTAACAATGTTTGGGAACCGAGGACAGTCATTTTTAAAGTGAAATTTCCCTCCCAGAATTCTCGAGCGAACCCCCAAAAATCTTATTAAAGACTGCCTGTGTGGAATAATGAACGCTGAAAGAGATTAGTGTCTTCATAAAGGAAGCGTCTTATGGCTGGCATCATAAACAAAGGCTTCTCCAAGTATTAGATTAGTTTTAGTTAGCATGTTCAGTACTTTTTTCCCGTGTCAATACACCTCATTACACACTTCGACTTCTTTATCTGTGTAGTTTTACTTAGTTCATGTGAATGTGAATGTAAATTTCTTGTGAATAGCTGCAATGGAAATGTGTTGAATACTTACGTCACTGCCCAACTTTTTTGGAATTAGGGTTATATATATATATATATATATATATATATATATATATATATGTGTGTGTGAAATGCTTTTTGCAGCATGTGAATGACCTGGCCGTGTGTGTACGTGTCCATGTATGTGTGCACCATCTGTACGCCTGCACTGCACATATATGTGCCGTTACACTTCATGTGTGCATATGTGGTCGGGTGGTGGATGAGAATAGAAGTTTAAGAGAGACCCGAACAATAGTGTGTTTGAATTGAGAGACCTATTCCCGTACATGGCCGCCCACTCGCTGGTACACTGCTGAATGGGATAAAATGGCCCTTTTGAGATTAGTACCAGTGACCTCTACTTGTCACCCCGAAAAGGTTAACGACTCCGGGACAGTGAGGTAGTGTTGCCAGGGTGAGTCACTGTCACGAACCTGAGTGACTCATCAGACAGGCGACCAGATGAAAAGAAAAAGACGAGTCGTGACAGTGTGAAAGAGACTGCGACAGACGGGATAAAGAGGGAAAACGAGAGGGACACATGAAATGAGATAATGATGTGAGATAGAGCCGTGCAGTTGGTTCCCCTCTGAAGTTCTCCATTTCACATCAGAAACAGATATCAGAGCAAATACTGGTATCGCAAAAGTTAGTTAAGTATTTTAATTAGATCTACTGGGGAAAGGAAGGATGTCTTTCATTAAAGACATGACAGAGAGAACTTGTAAGGCCGTTGGAATTGAGTGACTCATGACCGGTTTCAGCGTCGCAGTCACAGAATATTAATCACTGACCACATCCATACAAGGACACACCTTTGGTTGAATCACACTCAAAATTGTCTATGGTTGAAATTAAGCGTGGTCACTCATGTCATATATAGTACATCCTTTAAACCTGTGTTGAGGTGTAGATGAAGTCTGCTGTTTCAAATGTGTGTAACTGAGATATTTTTGGCAAAAGAAGTTTAGTTTAGAAGTTAAGTGGGGATGTGTGCAGTCAGTCAGCTAGTTGATTTAGTGTTGCTGCCCTCGGTTAAACATATTGTTAAACTAATTTTTATTTTATGTGACTGCACTCACTCAATAAAATTGCTGTTATAATAATCAGGCATGTTTCCTAAGGGTTTATTTTACTAATGTATGTTGTGTTTAATAAATGTTTTTGAGAACTTGTATTAAATGAATTGTTGTTATCTGTTGTAGGATAGTGTGTAATGTGCCACTCGTTTTAGCTGCATTTAAAACACAATCTGGTCATTGAAAAATGTCATTAAAGATTTCAAATGGCTTTTTAATATACACAGGATTTTTTCCAGACAATGTTTATCCTTACACATTAAATAGTGCTCAATTTTTACTGGATGTTTTTATTACTTTTAGACTAGTCAGTAAGTCTAGGTTGAAATATTAAGGAGATTAGTCATTAGGAAATCCCATAATGTTGACAGGGGCTTACCCTGAATAAGAAAGGATCTAACAAATTTTGTAATTAAATACTGTTTGTGTTCAAATAAGAACCGACATGTCAAAGCAGATTATAAATGCCTAAAAAAAGATCAAATTACCTGTTGAGATGAAGTGACTGCACTTTTTCTTTCGGTTTCATTTTTGCATCTGGCTTACGAGAAACATTGTTGAAGGGCCTTTCCCTTGAATTTCAATATCTACACAAGTCATTAGAGATTTCCACGGTACTTGTGTGTCATAGTGAGCAAAACGTTGTGGTTTTTACTTTCAGACAGGAGTAAAACACTCACATATCACTTAATTGACAGAACATTTTATTTTATGTTAAGTAATGTTTTATAATTAGTATAATCTTACATGCAGTGTAGTTGTAGGAAATTCTGAGTACTTTGAATAATCAATACTAACTTCATGCATTGCTGTCGTTCCTCTCTCTGCCTGTCTCACCTCAGAGCGCTGTCTAGAAGACCATGAGCTGGTGGTTCAGGTCCAGGCCTCGATGAACAGCGACAGCAGATTCCTCTTCAGGAAGAACTATGCCAAATATGAATTCTTCAGAAACCCGCTGGTAATTACTTTTTCCTAGACATTTCTTAACATGCCGTGTCACTCCTGATGTCTTCTTGTTGAAATATGTTACACGTATAGCCTGTAAAACAGAAATACACCTGCAGCGACAGCTCAGTTTGGATTTTGTTTTTGCATTTTTGTGATTTTTAACACTATTTATTTTTAGATACGTTGAAATAACCTGATAGTTTCTAGTATTTAGAGCATTCAGCCAAATAAGAGAGATGTTTAAGAGTTTCCAGGTGTAATTTACTCCAAAGATTGGCCATTTGGCTCAGAGATGAAATGACAGACATGTTCTTCAACAGTGTCTTATATTTTGACAGCTGACTGTACTAATGAGATTTGCCTTTCTTTTTCTGTCATAAATTCCACCCTATAATTATTGTCACAGTGGCTAATATTCTCTGTCTGTCTGCCCCTCCGTCTCTCTCCACCTTCTTCTTCCACCAGACATTTTTCCCGGAGCAAATGGTCGCGTGGTGCCAGGAAACCAATCGTACGATTCCACCATCTCAGCTCCTTCAGGTACAAGCAGCGCGCACACTTGCACGCTTTTCTCTCCTGTGTCTGTCTCTCTTTTCTCTCCTCTTCCTGACACGCACACAGCTTAGCTTACCTCAGAGTCAGCACCCACTACATACTGTACAATCAAACTGACATACCTCACCTCTGACCTTAGACAGTGTGTCTCGTCAGTGCCTGCAGTAATAACTACCGTTGATCCCCTGTTGACACACGACTGTCTCGGCACACGCACCGCAGGCCCCACACTTGCGATGGATGGAATTAGGCAGTCAGAAATAGAACATTCAGTTCCTCACGTACCTACCGTATGTTTGCACAGTACAAATTCACACTCTTGTGTCATGCTACTTATCTGCTGCACAGGCTGCTCACGGGCCATACTCTGCTTTCACAAAAGATGTAAAGAGAAGACAAAAGTCTGGGAGGAGACCAGACAAAAAGATTCTTGGGATTTTGAAGAGCTTTGGTCTTAATGGATGGAGGGTTTACATGCAGTCTGGCTCTCTGCTGTATCAAGTAATGGAGCTGTCAGAGACGGAACCACAAGTGGAATCCATCCCTTCATCCTCGCTACTCACAGAAAGCTTTTAACTCCCCCGCTGATCATATAGACGTTATGCTCTACATAGAGGAGTCAATAAATGAATGGGGATGTGGCGAGGTTGAGTTGTGTCAGGAATCCCCAGTGTTTGACTTATTCTAAACACAAAATCTTTGCACTCAATTAGAGTGCTGTCCAAACCGAGACGCTTTGTGACCCCGGCTCAGCCAGGTGTTTGCAATATTTCCCCGTTTACGCAAGAAGCACATGTCGACGCGGTGCAGCCGAGGTGCAGCGCTTCGAAAAGAAAGCTTCTTCAATGAACGTCGCGTGTGAACGTGCGCTCCGCAAATGCTGGAAAATGCTCATGCATGAGGCCCATTGTGGGATGTTTCCAAAACACTAGGAAACATGTGCTTTAGATATTGAAGAGTCTTCTGGAACAGTTTACCTTCCAGCCGCAAGCCACAGATTCCAAATCAGCTCTAATAACTTAACCTGCCACTTCATGGTGCGATATTTTTGTGAAACATGGAAACCGCAAATACTTCACACACCCACAAGACAATTTAGGCTTTAAGGGCTCCCATTAGAAATGAACTGTATGTTGAGTCAACATATGTTCTGTATTTGTCTTGGCAGGGACATTGCATAACATGACACATTGTGTTAAAACATACATACTATTTTTCCTTTTTGTATTTAAATTAGAAAATTAAAAAATAGAAATTCATCACCAGCCATGCTTAACACGTCTTCTTCAGCTCTCTTCAGTACTCTACACGCTTTAATTTTTTAGACAGTAGCACAGTGTCTGGCCTTGTCGTGGTCGCTACCATGGTGTGTAATAATTCAAGCTGCCGCCCATCTCAACCGTCAGCTGTCCATCCTTTGCTGATGCAAGAAGCCCAGATGACACTGTGTTCTTTGACAAAAAGCAATTATCTCCTGTCTGTGATGCCTCTACAGATGGTGTCTGCTGCAGCTTTCAGTATCTTGCTGTGATGGTGACAGAGAGCTTAGAGGCTTCAGATGTGATCCAGCGTTGCCCTCCTGAGGCAGAGGGGCCCTCCTCCATGGAGGACACTATAGGACGAAAAAATCTGATATTTTGTGTGCTGATCCCCGGCTTTCTGTCTTTCTTTGTCCCTCCTTCAGAACTTCCTAGCGACCAGTAGCTGTCCAGAGATCCAGGGGTATCTGTATGTGAAGGAAGTGGGCAGGAAGTCATGGAAGAAAGTTTACATGTTCCTGCGGCGCTCAGGACTTTACTGCTCTACAAAAGGAACCTCAAAGGTAACAGCAGCTCACCATTTTCATCTTCAAGGGAGGAAATAAGATGTCATTGTCACTTTCCCTTTTTAACTCTGTAATTACAGTCATTATTCATCATTATATAACTCCAATTCATATGCCAGTGACATTTTATAGTAATAACACAGCAAATATTCCAGATTGAATGTAATTACCTTCCGAGAATCCGCCTTTTATTGATGGTGGTCTCTCTGCATGTGTCTGCGTCTGTCAGTATACCTCCAGGCTGTGTCTCCCTGTGATGTTCTGACTTATTAATTATTTCTGTCTCCAGGAGCCCAGACATCTACAGTTTCTAGCAGACCTTGAAGACAGCAACATCTTCACTGTCATCACAGGCAAGAAGCAGCACGGTGCGCCCACAGACTACGAGTTCTGCATCAAGGTGAGTCTCAGATGACAGAAGTGAGATGAAGATGGAGCTGATTTTTAATGAAATATTATGAGCTGAGGAATGACTGACATCCTGTGCAGCAGCTCTTTGTCTCGTGAAAAGGGCGTCGGCATGCATGCATATAGATGTATATATGGGTGCTGATGTACTGGTTTATTGCCAGTGTTTATTTACTTAATTTCTTTTATTACTAAGTTTTAATGTTGTATGTATCAGTTAAAACATGTTTTCTTATTATCCTCATCAGCTCAGTCACTCCCATCAGTGACAGTGGTGATAATGGTGGAGCTAGCAGTAATAATGATGATGATAATGATTACTATCACTGACTCTTACAACTGTTAATTCACAGCCCAATAAATGTCGAGGGGAGTTGAAGGAGTTGAGGATGCTGTGTGCGGAGGATGAGCAGGGAAGGACCTGTTGGCTGACGGCCTTCCGGCTCTTTAAGGTAAAACACAATGACAAAAAATATATAACATAGTTTTTCATGGTGTATACAATACACTTACTAAGATTTTGATAGTGTTGGTTAACCAGTTTGTTCCTTTTTTCTTTACAGTATGGGATTGTGTTGTACCAGAATTATAAGATTCCCCAGCAAAGAAAAACCTTGCTGTCACACTTCTCAGCACCTGTGGTAAGTTTTCTGCTTTATTTAAAAAAGTAAAACACCTTAAAACCTCAGTGCCACAACATGGCTTTGAATAACTCATTAACATGAGCAAATACTGGTTGTGCAGAAATACTTTATTAATATGCACCAGTAACAGCTAACTTACCAGTCTGACAAGTTTAGGAGTTGATATTCACAGAAAGGCTTAGTCACCTGTGCCACCCCACTTTTTATTGCACTGCCTTTGCTTATATGTGCACATAGCTGGCACTTGTGTTGCTGCCTCTGACTCTACTTCTCAACCATCATGTATCTCTGTCTCCCTCTAGCGGAGTGTATCGGAGAATTCCCTCGTGGCGATGGATTTCTCAGGGAGGATAGGCAGGGTGATTGACAACCCTGTAGAAGCTCAGAGCGCCGCCATGGAGGAGGGACATGCGTGGAGGGTGAGACACAACCTCAGTTTTTATGTTATCTCTGACAACAATGCTCGGAGTGGACCTTAAAGATCTCCACAGATGGCAGTGTTTATTTTTGCTCAAATATTCATACAGAGCTTATTTTCCTCTGGTTGTAATTGTTGATTTTTTCAGTTATTCTGAGCTGACAAAATTTGTTTATTAGTAAAGCTGATATGGCCGTGGGGCAGCTGGCAAAATATGAAAATGGTCAGATTTAATCTAATGGATTTAAACTCAGTCCACAATGATTAAATTGGTGTAATCCACTGTCAACTTTGCTCTTATTTATTTGTTTTCACTGTTAAGAAATGTGAAGCTTCACCAAACAAATGTACATGAAGTAGATGTACACACCCTTAACTGCCATGTGCACCAGATCATGAACTAATCCCCGTTGTTTTGTCTGTATGTGGCATCTCTCTCAGAAGAGGAGTCAACGAATGAACATAATCGGCTCCCACAGTCCACTACACCACTCCTCACTAAGCTCAGGTAAAAGCCATTTACAAAATTGTCTATCATGAGCTTCTTCTCATATTTTTTCTTTAAGTTTTAACATGAACAATTTGACATGCATTTAAATGTATTTTGCATTTTCTCTGCAGTCATCCACATAGCTCAGTTGTGGTACCACGGCAGGATAACCAGAGAAGAATCCCATCGCATCATCCACCAGCAGGGACAAGTCGATGGGTAAGGGAGCTGGAGCGAAAACACATTTTACGCGTGTTATTTTTTTCTTCTCCTCCATATTTTTTCTTACTGCATCTATAAAGTCATATGAATATTTTTCTCACAGCGACCTTCTTCCTCTTGGTGCACAGGTTGTTTCTGCTGAGAGTCAGTCAGAGTAACCCCAAGGCGTTTGTGCTCACATTGTGCCATCACCAGAAAATCAAACATTTCCAGATACTACCGGTATGCATTGCTTTGTTTTTTATACACATATATATTTTTTACTCACTAATTGTTTTTATCTTTTATTAAAAAGTGGTCATTGAATGTTGAAAGCAGTTGTAAGGTGGTAGTATTAAAGGAGCAGTGTGTAGGATTTAGTGGCACCTAGTGGTGATGATTGCAGATTACCACTAGCTTAAACTTCTTACATGTGCAAAGCGTGAACTCCTGGTTAGAATTCCTTCAGTGTTCCTTGTTAAGGAGGTTTTTACCAGGAGCCAAATTATCGGCAGGTGTCTCCAAATCAAACAGACAGCATGATTTAAACCCAAAAAAACCCCACTGAATTAAACAGTTCACGTTAAAAAAATCAGTGTTTGAACGACGTTGCTGGTTATAAGGGGCTGCTAACTACAGTCGCCAATGGAAAAATAGAGAACCAGTGTTGGGTTTGTCCATTCTGGGCTACTGTAGAAACATGGCGGTTTAACATGGCGGACTCTATGGACAAGGACATGCCCCTTGTGTATGTATGAATGGCTCAAGGCAATGAAAACACAACAATTCTTATTTTCAGGTGATTATACGCTAAAGAAAACATACTGATTATATTTAATTTCTATCAATAGATCCCTCTTAATTCTACACACTGGACCTTTAAAGCTATTTTAGTTATTTATATGTCTCTTGTGACATGTTTATTTTCTTTCTTGGGTGACAATGCAACCTTTACGACTGTATTGATTAAAATTATTTATGGCAAAAGACTCACTAACTGTTAGTTAGCCCAAAGTTTTTGTGGACTATGTCAGTCGCACAAGTCAAACCATTAACTGTTTGGTCTTACTTGTATAAAAAAGGTTGCTTAAATCCAGGATCTCTCTAGAATGTTGGAAGTCAGGCAAAAGATTGATAGAGATTTGTTGCTTACAAGTCCAAACACGCAAAAAATCATTGTTATGGTGCTTTAAAAAGACTCTGATGTTCTTGCCCTCTCTTTTCTCCTGCCCCGTGGTGTTTTGATGCTCGCTCTTGACCCCGGCAGTGTGAAGAGGACGGCCAAGCCTTCTTCAGCCTTGACGACGGCGCCACCAAATTCACCGACCTGATTCAGCTGGTGGAGTTCTACCAGCTCAACAGAGGAGTGCTGCCTTGTAAACTCAAACACCCGTGCACCGTCGTGGCCTTATGACACCTTCGGATCATCTGACCCCATGACCCCCTATCACTTGACCTGACTCTGCCTAAAACAAACAAAACTACAAGAATCTTTCTGTTGGTTGGTTCTTTTTTTGTTTTTATCTTTACAAGAAGCTGGTGAATTGACTGATGTTTTTGTTGTTTATATTATTGTGAGTCCGCCAGAGACTGCTGACATGTTGGATTCCTTTTTGCATGGATGTTTGAGGAGCTGGATGCACAACCTGCTCACAAGGTTCCTCAGTCAAGAGGAGAGAAGATACAGGAAATGAACACTGCCGTTTGTGTCAATGCTGTCGCGAAATCTTCCACAATCTTGCTACCCATAGTCATCAATAAGCTCGGACACAGTGACCCTCAAGGTTTTATCACGCAGCTCAAGTGTAGACTGTGTATCCCTTCAACTGGACAATCAGCAGGACAGTTCGAGCTCCCGTGTGGACCACTCTGCTCTCTGAGAACAAACTGTAGTCTCATTCAAGCTTCCTCACACGTCCTCAAAGAATATACTGTAGATGGAGAGTTGATTGTCTCTTAGTTTTGCACTCATCAAACTGGGAGTGGCCTTTTGACGGTGCATGACTTCTCAGCTGTCTTAACTGTGAGATGGTGCCACCGCCCTCTAGTGTCATAGGCATGTAAGGACTTGTCAAAATTTAACATGGACGAGATTTGGAGGTGCCAGAGAGAGGGCTGCTTCTGAATCCTTTTTGAGGATTGGAAACATCAGATGAAAACGGCTAAGGAAAAGTCTGGAACTGTTGACACAAATTATTTTTTTAAATAGGGGACAAAACAAAATCTGCGTTGTCCACCCTCACGGAAATTTTATTTGCTCATCCCTCACCTCACAGGGTTTCTTTTCTTGATACATTGCAGTTATGTATTGTTATTAATAGTCTCTTTGATAATATATTTTTTTAAAGCCCACCTTTGGCATCCTGGATATTTTCAACTCTTCATTAGTCACATATACCACAGTAAGGTCATTCTGTACTTGTTACTCTGTCGCATGCTCCATTTCCCGAAAGTATGTCCACTGCAACTTCCACAAACATGAATAAGCATTAATCAAACCATGGTGTCATTCAGGGTGAAATAACAAGGAATAAAGCTAAATGAATTTTGTTACCGGGTAGACCGTTTTGGTGATTGTAAAGTTAAAAGTGCCGGCAAATGCACGATGGAATATGCTGCAAAAGATAAAGTGGGACAGTGGAGAGCATCAGTCTTTTGTTCAGTCTCCTCACCACAGCACAGGGAAGGATAACCACTAGCATTTCCTTCAGGTGTTTTTCAAGTGATAGCGAATCAAAGGAAACTAAATTAGATCCCCCCAGAGATACAGTGGATCCTGCGTTAAACATCTGTCCTGGTTCCAGACTCTCTCTTCACAAGTGTTCCACAAACCGCCTCCTGCTGTACCTGTTAAAGTCAGTGAGATGCTGTTGGACATAAAAGTGGCTAGAAACATGGTTGAGTGTGCTCTGACTCCAGACTCTGGTGCAGTACATCCCATATAATGCAGCCCTGTTCTGCCTGGAAGTACTTGTGAAGTAGCAGTATTGCATATACACCTGCTGCCTACTGCACGCCACCTCTTTGTGAATTCAGGCACAATGTCTATGAAAAGTTAGCTCTTGCTACAGTGTGGGGGAAAATATGTCAAGAGGGAAGAGTATTGAAATGATCTCTATCTCTTCCTCCTCTCAGCCCGTCACATCCGGTCTCATCGCACTTTCTTTAGCCTGCTGTTGGATAAAATGAAAATGCACCATCAGCGGTGTGGCAGCAGCGTAAAACTGGAAATTTTAGGACTCAGACCTCTGACTGCAAATGTACCACACGGCCCACTTTATTTTATTATCTTAACCCCTGTCCCTTCATTTAAATTTAGAGTTGCCTCTGATACATGCTGTGTTTTTGATTGATGATGATGAGATTGTCAAATCAAAAACATAGAATGTAAAACTTGTTTTCCTAATGCCAGCCAAGTTAGTAAAAAAAAAAAAAAAAGTATTTGAATGGATTACGCTTTGTGTTTTGGCCATGTCTGCGATGGAGCTCCTTTAATTAACTGTAGTGCAAGGAAGATTTCAGCACCGTGTCTCTAGATAACCTGGATTAAATTTCTTTTTAAATAGACAGGGCTACTTTTTCAGCACCTATTGATCATGTCTGGAACTAAATGGATAACACATGAAAGGCAAATCCCAGCCATCTCTAATTCTAGGAAGACATACTGCATGTAAAAGCCCAAAGTTATTGGATGTATATCTGATGATATTCATATTCGGTGTCTGTCACTCCCAGTAAATTCACCAAACCCTCTTTGAAATGACGCACCACAGTTGTTGTTCCATGTCAATACATGAAATTTCTAAAACCTCACACTCTAGTTTTATTTAGTCCAAGCTCTGGTTAGGTCACAGGTCAGCAGACATTTACATATCTATTTGTACTTGTACTTGTACTTGTAATGCAACATCAGCCTTGATTGATTTACCTGCAGGTTATCTTGAACATCTGAGATGCAGAATAGCCACACCATTTTGACTTTTTGTGCATGGTCACCATTATTTATCTAAAATGCAATGACTCAATCATTATTTTTAAGTATTGTTGCAGCAAAAATGTATTTATTTATCTTGATGTGACTGATTACTTGAAAATTTTAGATTTTTTTTTTCTCGGCGCTGTTCTGTACTGTTTTCTATTGTCATTACCATGAAATGATTGACCAGTGTGATTTATTATTATAATTATTATTATTGTAATGACATAGCATCTATTGTTTTATTTTGTTTTATTTTTGTCTCATTCAAAAACAGTTTTTTTTGTCATCATCATCACTTGTTTTGAGGCGATGTTTCAAAGCACACTGGCATCCATAGTGTTAATATTGTCGTTCCGATAGACGACAGGTGGAATGTTGAGAGATTAAAAGGAAGTACTCGAGTTTCCCAAAGCATTCATCTCTACGTGTTTAGCCATTTTAATTTCTGTTCTCTTTTCTCCCACATCTATGAAAAATAAGATTTTCAACCCCTCTATTTAAAAAAAAAAGTAAGTAATAAAGCCACAAATGTTTTGGGAAACTGGGTCAAGTAAGCCTCAACATTCTCATAATTCACTAAAACACCATTGCCTTGATGAAACAAATTTAGAAACTAATACAGACACAGTCACATTTTTATACCCTTAAAACTGCAATGAACAGGGATGTGAAAATTCCGTGTAATTCAATCAATACCAGAGCAACCTTATTGGATGGGTTACAGCATTGACCTCCTGTCAGAGAATGAAGAAACTTAATTTAGTAGGTAGATTTTTATCACTTGCATGAATGTGGATTTTGAGTTTATTGTGTAGAGATTCTGTCACTGATATTCGATATTAAGAGGAATCTGGATTATAACAATACATAAATTCGTTTGTAGTTGCTGAAAGTCATCTTAAGCTATCGAGACGTCACTGAAATAATGATGCTAGCTGTTTGTTAATTCCAATCTAAGTCCCCTGAAATTCAATTCCCACTCTGCACTCATCTGCAAATTCACAAGATGCTTTGTTTTTTTTCTCTGACTGACGTGAATGGTAGCAGATGTCATCATGTGAGGGACAGATAGCCTTTAAGGTAGAGGGAGTGTTAACAGTCATAACTGTCATATTCAGATACTCTAAATGCACAAAAGGAGGAAGTAAATTCAATTAGTGAACACATGAAAAATAAATCAGGGGATCTGGATATCCACGTTATTACACTCAACAGAAATGAATGTAACTGGGTTGCTCAGGGTTGACTTGGAGCATGTTAACTACTGGTCCATCAGCTCTCTCGGACTTTTATGTACAAGATGATGATGGATTCATTACTATTTTAGTTTTGTTAAGCTGGGAGTTGTTACAACAGACTTTTCTCCATTATGTGCTCCACCAATCTGCTAATTATTATGGTTACTTGAAAAATATCCTTGCAGCAGAATGGAGTAGATCCAGCGCTATTTAAAATTAACAGTGTTGTTCATTTTATTGTTAAAGCTGTTTATGAACACAAAAAACTAAAATACTTGCCTGGCTACCTGAGCTGATTTAAAACCCCCATCTCTAACAACAAATATCCAATTTATAAAAAAAGATCCCAATTTCACGCCATCATTTTTTTGCAAATTAAAATAAATAATAATCTGATTTATGTCATTATATTAGACACTCAAACATGTAAATAAAATAAGTGACAATGGAGCGCAGTGTCAGACTTGGTAGCCAGGTAACTTGCAACCACAGATGGTGCCTCTGATGACTTCTCTTTATCTGCACAAACCAGACCTGACGTGGACCAAACGACAGACAAAGCTACCGTTCAGAGGGGACCGTTCACACTCAGAAACCTTGCAATTTTCAATATGTACTCAGTAAATACGATTCAAAAATAGAAAACGGCACTCGAAAGGAGATTGAGAATGAACGCTTGTGTTTTTCAGTTGCAGTTTCAGTTTACTTTTGGAGTTGAAAGTGAATCATCCCAGATTCCTGCAAAGATAGATTGATCGATTATCATCTTGACTCATGCATTCATGTCATAATGCAAGATACCTTGGCTGTACAAATGAGTAAAGTAAAAAAATATATCTATATATAAAAATATAAACTATTATGTATTCAGGGAATGCAAAAACGAAAACAGTAACTTGTCTCTTTTTTTTTTTAAAGAGAGAGCTCCTGTATTCAACATGTGCTTTGCTTCAAACTGTAAATAGTTGAATGGCTTATAAATCTTAATTGTAACCTTTTCAGGTATTTTTGTACAAATAAGGGACTGATATATTCTGTTTATTGTAATTAGAATAAAACATTAATACATTGATATAAAAACCTAAACAGTGTTTGTCTTTATTGAGGGAAAATTCCTTTGACTAAAGAATGAAACTCTGCTGTATCAGATTTATGTAAAAGATTTATACAGAGGGTTAAACAAACCATACTACATGTGCAGTGTTTGTCATCTCTTTTGTTTTCCAGATTCAGGTGTATCCTGAGTATAGAAAACATTAAGTCCTATCCTGAGCCAAATACATATATTACAGGTTGGGTTTTTTTTTCTAAATGCTTCGGCATCATCTTTGAAACTATTGGCTAATTTTGCAAAACTCTACACACTAACCACAACACTTTACATCGAACCAGCAAAACATTATACATCACTCACAAAAGCAATTCTTGCAAACTCTTTTAAGCTTGAAGCACCAACTACACACTGACAGTATAACCTGTGGCTTTTGCTTTTTTTCTGTGTGCATGGCAGAGCAGTTTGCAATAGTTTTGTTATACATGTAGGAAACACACATACATACGTGTCCAAATGTGTAAAGTACAGATGTGTATTCTGAACACAACAGACCAGAGGTGGGACAAAGTCATTGTTTTGCAAGTCATAAGTCCACTGGCATGCATATTTTGGGCACATCTGGTCAAAATTTCATTTTCTGTGAGTGTCAGAAGGCACCATGCAAACCCAAGACATTTGAGCTCTCAGACAACTTATACCAGGGTCTCAGACCATTATTAGCTTGTTAGAGCTATGGCTTGTTCACAGTCATTGTTAGGAAAGGCAAATTTCAAAGCTTTGTATACTCTGACTCCTGATACCTTGTCCCAACAATCAGCAGCCATGGGCTCCTCTAAACAGCTGCCCAGCTCTCTGAAAACTAAAACAATTGATGCCCACAAAGCAGAAGACTATAAGAAGATAGCGAAGCATTTTCATGTAGCTGTTTCCTCAGTTAGTAATGTAATTAAGAAATGACAGTTAACAGATACAGCAGAAGTCAAACTGAGGTCTGGTAGACTAAGAAAGCTTTCTGAGAGAGCTGCTCATAGGATTGTTAAAAAGGCAAATCAAAATCCCCGTTTGACTTCAAAAGACCTGCAGGAAGATTTAGCAGTCTCTGGAGTGGTGGTGTACTGTTCTACTCTGCAGCGACACCTTTACAAATATGATCTTAATGGAAAAGTCATCAGAAGAAAACCTTTTCTCCATCCCGACCACAAAATTCAGCCTCAGAAGTTTGCAAAGGAACATCTAAACAAGCCTGATGCTTTTTGTAAACACATCCTGTGGACCAGTGAAGCTAAAATAGAACTTTTTGGATGCATTGAGCAAAGGTGTGTTGGAGAAAAAAAGGATGCAGAATTTCATGGGGAAAAAACAGTTGCAATGGGAACATTTCACAGGTAGAGGAAAGAATGGATTCAGTTCAATTCCAGCAAATTCTGGAAGCAAACATCACAGCATCTGTAAAACAAAACTGAAGATGAAGAGAGGATAGCTTCTACAGTAGGACAATGACCCCAAACACACCTCCAAATCCATAATGGACTACCTCAAGAGGAGCAAGCTGAAGGTTTTGCCAATGCCCTCTTAGTCCCCCAACCCAAACATTATTGAAAATCTGTGGATTGACCTCAAAAGACCAGTACATGCAAGATGTCCCAAGAATCTCACAGAATGGGTGAAGATCCCCCAAACAAGAACTGAAAGACTCTTAGCTGGTTACAAAAAGTGTTAAGAGGCTGTGATACTTGCCAAAGGGGGCACTACTAAGTACTGACCAAGCAGAGTGCCCAAACCCTTGCCTCAAGCCCTTTTCTTTTTTTTTTGTTATTTTGAAACTGTAAGAGATTGAAATAAAAAAGTAATCTTGCTTAAAATATTGAAAACGTAACATTTTTAACTTTTTGCCTTTTGGAGATCAGTTCATCTTCCTCACTCACAATAAACAACATTTTGACCAGGGGTGTCCAAACTTTTGCATGCCACTGTAAGTGTCAAGTGAAGACCAGCAATCCTAAGTCCTAAACTTTAAGTTTTAAGTCCAACACAAGTCATAATCTAACACTCTTCATTAAATCTAATGCTGTTTTATTAACAGATTATATTGAGTTTACAGTCATTAATGCTTTTGAAAATTTGCACTTATTTGTTACAAGTTTAATGAAATTATTTTCATCTCTATCTGTAATTTTTGACTTGCACATTTCCTATAGGCTCACTGTAGTTTGTTTTTTGTTGCTCACTGTGAAGTCTTTGTACACAAACTAAATTGTCTTTGGTATCATTTTTCCAACTGGCAATCAGTAACGTAAAGTTAGTTCGTCATGGTTCTCTCCTGCAACTTGACTGGATGCTGCCAGATTGGTTCCAACAAAGTGGATGTGCAGGATTAAGTGTTGACTTGCTGGGAATAAATAAAGTAAATGTTAGTTGATTCAGGAAATTAAGGGAAAAATAATTGTTCCATGGCACTCTTTTAAAAAGACGAAAAAAAGGTATCAAGTATTTTCAAGTGAAAAGGCTCAAGTCCAAGTGAAGTCTTAAGTCACTGGTGTTAAAGTCCAAGTCAAGTTGCAAGTCTTATTTGCTGTTGTCATCAGATTTGTGACTCAAGTCTGACTGTCCAACTCGTGACTTGAGTCCTCTAGCACACACTATTAATACGAATAAGTGGGAAAGGGGTGAAAGAACAGATCTTTTTCTTTACATTTTTTTTTGGCTAAATCTCCCCTTCCTTGTGCGTCTGGCCATAAGACATCCTCCGTATCTCTCTTTCCAATATTGGCATACACCGGTTTCCAGATGCTTACCTGTGGTCTATTTATAGTCCCCAAGCTCTGATTTATAAGCAAACTCATTTTCCAAAAGTGTGGAAAGGAAACTGGCAATATATTTTGTGTAGCAATGTAGAGATCAGTGTTCACAGTTTTGCTATTAGTGTGTTATGAAATTGCAAAATGAGTGTAAAACAGAGGAAGATAATTTAGTTTGGCACACTTGCCAGATGCATTGGCTACAAGTGTTAATGGTTTAAGAGACAGTGCTTCAAGGATCTCTGTTAATGTGTAAGCATTTAGAAAAAAAACTGTAATGTCAGGGACTGTATAAAATCCCACTGAAAGTGTAGCCCTCAGTTTCTCCACTAGATGGTGTAATATCACAACAAATTTACCCCATGGTAATCAACAATTAACCATGATTACCATGGGGAGCAATTTAGTAACATACACATAGAATACACCAATAAACCCTGCAAATTATTCATAATGTGACATATAAATGCTGATGCAAAGGAAATCAGGTTAATGTGGGGGTCCCACAGTACGAACAGTGCATTGATCCCACTGAGAATTGACCCTTTGACACCAATTCTGGTTCTGCTGTGTCTCACCCTCTGGATTATCAGGCATGCAAGAGTAGTGAGGTTTGAAGGCTTAAAGGTTTGTTGCTGGCAAAGAAAGAGATTAACACCTCTGAGGATTTGCCGTGTGCGTCTAGAGTAATGTCTTATCAACTTTAGTCACTTTCTAGTTTGTGGGGTTCCTGTGGTGGACTGCATTATATTGAATCTTGATCTCCAAAGAATACTGTCCCACCATCTTGACATTTCATTTTTTTTAGCGTTAAATGACCAAAAATAAGATGCTGAAGTGTACTCTATAAGTTCTGTACATCAGTGTATGAGTATTTAGAGTGTTTCTGTCTGTAGATGGTTGTCCCTAAGATTGTCTTTAGACCCTTTGCCAACTTGAGATACTCAACAATAACACCCATAATGTCTAAAACTCACTAACAACAAGGTTACAGAATGAGAAAAACTGAGAAAGGAAAACACAACATAATTTGTGAACATGACAGTCTGGCAGTAGAATCAGATCAGGCTGACTATTTTGTTTCCTTAGCTCTCTGCTTTTCATCATAATCTGTTTCAGTTTCTTGTTTTTATTTTCTAATTCTGTAATTTATTGTATTATGTGAACCCCTTTTCAATAATAATTATGTGTAATGATTGCAGTTTGGTTTGATACAATCATTTGTGTTTGACAATGTGGCACATGCACGCACACATGCACTGAATGAACACATACTATGAACACTGTAGGTGAGAGTGACTTATTTGTTTTGCTTCTAGCCAAATACAAAGATACTGTTGAAGTCACTGATATTCAATGTCTAAGAGATAGCAGAAGGATGGCAGTAAGGTATACAGTGTTTTCTAGCTCAGTTAAGCACTTAATACCAGGACTACCAAGGGCCTGCTCAGAAAATAACCACTTGAAAAGCCAATACAGGAGAGACAAAGACCCCAGCTAGCAATCATTTTCGTGTGCAGTACCCGTCCATCAATGGCCATACTACACATGTACGCTCTGACACTGTTTTCATAGAATCAAAGTCTAAATGTCTTGTATTGTGGCAGATCATATAGTGTCATAGGCCCTACTTTATTGCTGTCCATCTAGTTGCAATAGCTTTCTCTTTTTAAAGGGGCACTCCAGACTCATAGACACATTTTGAAAAGAACAGTAACAAATCAAGGCAGTAGAGGCCTAGACTTCCTAAATTTTAGTCCTTACAAGTGAAATTAAGCCCTAAAGGCTGAACTGTACATTTTCAATAATAGAACTATCCCTGCGTGGTAAACATCCTTATATACATCAAACCCATGTCGGCCCTGTCGTAGCTGACAGTATTGACAGTGATAACGCTTTTGGTAAAGGCCCTGTAAGACAGATAACTGATGCTGTCAACAAAGATTAAGTAACTGTCTTTTTAATTTCACTGACTAACTATGGATGATCTTTTTTATCCTATGCCTACTGTGTATTTTGTGTAAGTGATTAAATGTTGTTTGTTCTCCACACAGTAGAGCATTCATACAATACAATCAGATACTGATTCCTTTGAAAACAAGACACACCTCCGAAGAAGACAAAGCCTCCTTTTCGCTAGTGTTTCAGGTGAAGTCTATCACTGATTATTCATGCATGTATGTACATCTGTGAGTGAAATCACACACTTTTCACTAAACACTACTGCTTGTTAATCCTCAGCATATCCTCATGCAACAGTGTGTCTAGAGTAGTGCAGGCAGGAGTCTTTGCATCCAGCACTTCTGGTTCCCTTGTCTTAAGGTCAATGGTTTTTTTTTGGATTTTGAGTTGAAGTTTTTTTGAGTATTTTGTCAGATGCCTTATCCAAAATAAGGTCTGTTTCCACATTTTGTTCTACGACATAAAATATGTCAGTAAACACCCTACTCTTGAATTTTAAAGCTTTTACTGGTCTTAAAAAAACAGACAGTTGCTTGTGGCTAAATGAGACTACTGACTACTGTTATGTGACCATGGTGTAATTCTTCTATAGCCCATTTTACAAATTAGTGCGCCTACCTGTTATGTTTAAAAAAGAATTATAGTAGAGCATAATTTTACCATGCACTATGCATGCATTTAACTCCATGTTAACTTTTGGTTTCACACTGGATGTCACTACCCAATCTGTACTAGAAACTGTTCAGGTCATCTCTCTGACATGAACCCCTATCTCTTGGGTTGTAAGTCCTGTGTTTGTTTCACACATCCATCCACCTCGACTGCCTTCCCATGCAGACTTTGTTGTTGTTTATACTATATGACCTTACGTCCTCCTTTACTTCCGACATATAAGGCAGAACAGCCTGCAGCACATAGGTCACGTGATCACAGCCTTTTTAAATGTCTTTTTTGGTGTGAGAAAGATGGTTTACATATAAGTCAAAACAATAAAGCTGTTGCTACTAATAATACTAAAACTCCTCTCTACTACTACTACTACTACTGCTGACAATAATAATAGTATGTCCCTGATTTGTGCAATTTGGAAAACATTGGCCAGCCCTCAAATGAACTGGAGAATAACCTGGCTTAATTATTAGACATTTTAATAATGGTGTCATTTAGCCAGCCTTCATAAAGCCAGTATTCCAATAATGTATTTTATATGTTATGTCAGTGGTTCTATTAGTGAGTAGATGCTATCTTTGGCTATCTGTGCACATGGACTGTTAGATTAACAGTTATTTGTGTATGTTTGTGTTGGCAGAGACACAGCTGTAAGAACACCTTGTGAATCGGTGAATTCTTGTATTGGCCATGAGCTCTGTTCCTATTGGCTGGCCTAGTGAGGTCGGTGGGGTGGGGGTGGTTAGTGGCAAGATAAAAGGAGCAAATGTCTCTTGTTCTGCATACACACACTAACACACTCACCACCACGTGCCTGGCTGTCTGTCCGTCTGTGAACGCTAAAGAAGAGGAGAAGATCCAATATCTGAAGCTCTCACTTGAAAAGGTAAGTATGCACACACACACACACACACACACACACACACACACACAAGCATACACACAACTGGTGTGCGCACATGCATGCAAACATGTCTAATCCTATTTAAGATAAGGCGGAGGATAAAAGCTCTACTTATTAACAAGAGAAAGGGACAGGGTCAAACACTTGTTAAATGACAAGGCTCTGGTGCGGAACAAGGGGCAATGTTCATATGCTGTTGTGTCATTTATTGGCACAATCCCAGGGATTTTGTATTGGAATATGTTTAAAGCTTTCTGCTTCTTTTAATTAATGTATTGTTCTAGGACTGCAACAGGTTTCCTTTTCAATGCATGGCATGTTCCTGGATTGCAGAAAACAAATTGGCTCACATTCTTGCTGACTCTTTCTCTCATTCAGTGAGGTGTATGTCAGTGGGCTAAAGAAATCTTGATGAGGCTCGCTTTTAGTCAGTTTATGGGACTGTCCTTTGACACACTGCATTGCAAGAGAGTTTATACCAGTCTGTACAGATAGGCTATAAACTTGTTTGTGGAAATATTTTTTTGCTACCAAGCTTTTCTGTTTACGTCAGTCCGTAAAGTGAAAGGAATCTAAGCTATGGTCAGACTGGCTTAATGTGTTGGTAAGAGGGTCAAGTGTTCATACAATTGTGCAAGCCCACACAAACTGTGTCAAGGAGCACGGCTTAGGCTGTTTGTACACTGTTCTATAAATGAAAACAACATTATATCATTCATTATTTTTTTAAAAGAACATAGGCAATAGGCATATTCATGGGAATAACTAGTCTCATATTAAATATATATATTGGAGTGTTTAGGGATTAACTGCACAACTGTTTTTAGAGGTTTTTTGCTCTTTAATTGAAGTCATTGACAATATGTGGTTTTCATAAGATTTAATCAAGAAATATGTGGATTTCCAAACACTGATATTAAAATTAAAAGCAACCTTCAAAAACAATGATTCCCTACAATTGGGAGTGATAATCACCCACTGGATTAACCTGTCCGAGATCATTTGGCTCATGTTAACCTTTATAAAAATGTTCACTTTTTTGTATGATTTGTCAAAATCATACTAACAGTTTAATGTCATATTGTGCCATTTTCTCAGTATCAACATGTATAATACATATGTTATTTTGAGCAGTTTTTCAGTGGTGTTTATTTTATCAGAGTTCAAGTAAAATGAATCAAAAATATTTTTTTATACTTAACTATTTATTATTTTTTGAGTTTTATCTAAGAGTTAGTTAAATAGCTAAGTTTCATCAGCAGTCCTTGGGCAGGCAAATTGAAAAAAAAATGTTGTCATCAAATGTTATAATTCAAACTAAAAAGAGTACAGATAACAAAGAGGCATTATACAAACTAACAGCACATTGAATTTAAAAACATTACATGATGGGGACTTCCAGTGAAGCCATGCTCGGGATGGACGCATAGAGTTTCAATCAGTCTTAAAAACAAATCCCCTACTTGGAAACTTCAACTCCAATACCTCTGAGGAGAGAAAGTGAGCTGGGGGAAACCACACAGAGGACAGAAGAGTTTGAAAGGGCAGCTTACTAAACAATTAACGTAAAGGAGAGCAGCCTGCCAATGAGGAAAATGGCACATTAACTACTACGTAGTTAATGTTAGCCGAGAAGAAGCTTGGTCCCCCCAAACACCACATTCAGCCACTTAGGACCACTTACATCATACGTTCATACCCATGCCAGGAATCTTAGTGTCATTTTTGACTCTGCTCTCAAATTTAACAAACAAATCAACTCAATGGTGAAAGGCTGTTTTCAACTATGAAACACTGCAAAACTCAAGTCCATCATCTCTCACAATGCCATGAAAACTGTAATCACTGCATTAATCTCCTCAAGGCTTTACTATTGCAACTCTCTGTGCCTGCGTGTTGGCCAGTCATCTTTGTCTCGTCTGCAGCTGACACAGTGAGGTAGATCATGCCTTTGCGGTAGCTGCTTCAAAGCTCTAGAATAGCCTTCCACTCTCAATCAAATCCTCCCCCTCCATTGACACTTTTAAGACAAAATTTTGTACATGGCCTAACATATTTTAAAATTAGCCGCAAATGTATGAATTAATTTTGAGTGTCAGAATAAAAATGTCAATGTAAGTGTTGATTTTATTCCCAGAACTTCAGTTCATCCACGGTGAAGTTTGTTTTTTGGTTTGATCATTATCAAACTTGCATGTCCTCACTTGAAATCATTAAGCTTTTCAATTCTACAATAATTCTGACTGAAGAGTTGACTTAATTACCATGACATCAGTTCATCCAAGGTGAAGGGTTTTTTTTGGTTTGGTAATATCTACATTATTAAACATGCATGACCTCACTTGGCATCATTAAGACAATGATCAATGATCACCTCATTCCTACCAGTGGGATAAAAGTTTAATATTTGACTCTGGTGGCATTTAAAGTATTTCAGAAATTAGGTGTTTCTGCACTGTATTCCAGTGGTACCATGGATGCTGCAGAGTTTCGGCGCAGAGGGAGGGAGATGGTGGACTATGTGGCCAACTACCTGGAGACCGTCGAACAGCGACCAGTCTCCTCAGATGTGGAGCCGGGGTATCTTCGTTCCTTGATCCCCACTGAGGCCCCACTGGAGCCTGAGAGTTATGATGATATTATGCAAGATGTGGAGAGGGTCATAATGCCAGGGGTGAGCTTATATGTTTGTTGATTTGCTGATCCACACAATGGTGCTGTAATTGTAATTTAGATGAATCTATTTGCTCATTTTGGAAAGTAATACTGTAGCAGAGACGACAGCCTTCATTTGTGAATTCATGTCCATAAATTTAGTTAATTTATTTAGTAATCTGATTACAACAAGCTGCTTTAGTATCTCCCCTTGCTAATCAAAAAATAGTGGCATCAGTATTAGTGTGTTCAGTCCATATGTTCAACTCACTTTACCAATTTTCATAAGCTACTAATACAGCAAAGATTTTCTAAAATCACATGAACATGCAACAGTTGATTTTAATGCATTTTTTTCAGCTCAGATTGAATAAAAAAGAATCATCAGGATATAAGTGATCCATCTTGGATTATAAAGATGACAGTTGGATATTTTTGTATTAACATGAAATGATGGTTTACTAAGTATTTTGTTGGGACATTCATTATGCAAATCAATAAATAATGGGGTAATTTCTCCTAATACTGCATAACGTGCAGTTAATATACCACACCAGTGTCAAAAAACAATCAGAGGAACTATTAGAGAGGAGGACAAGTGTCTCTGGCAACATGGTGCTTCACTAATGAGCACTCTTGGCATGTTATACCTAACTTACATTGGTTTCCTCCCACAGTTCAAACAAAAATGAAAGTTTAGAATATGCAAGTTTTTTGTCATTTGATATTGGGTGTCAATAGAGGTGCCTTAAACATCAGTACACAGTTAATTGATGGCTCACACTGGAAAAACTATGCACTGAGAATTCAACCTCTGTACTGTGTATAGGGGTTTTCATTTTAACCAAAAACAGCAGCAGTTTCAATATTATTAAATGAATATAGTTAGCAATAATATTGGAAACCTACCTGTTCCCAATGACGAACTAAGGTTGGTCTTGTTTTCAAATTATTTAATTATTTTAAGTATGGTATGTTTTACTTTTTTCCAGGTCACCCACTGGCACAGCCCATACTTTTTTGCCTACTTTCCAGCTGCCAGCTCTTACCCTGCCATGTTGGCTGACATGCTTTGTACAGCCATTGGCTGTATTGGATTTTCCTGGGTAACAAATACTTTGCTCTGTCTCTGTATCTGTCTTTGTGTTATTTTGTACATTAAGTTCACAGAGAGAATATTTGAGATTTTTGTTTGCAATTTGGGTGTGTGTTTTCAGGCTGCCAGTCCAGTCTGTACAGAGCTGGAGACAGTGATGTTAGATTGGCTGGGGAAGATGCTGAAACTGCCTGAGCATTTTATAGCCGGGACTGATGGCCACGGAGGTGGTGTCATCCAGGTAAGTGTCTTTTGTGTGTTTTTATCAGACAGTCCAAAGAGTCAAACCAACTTCTGCTCACATTTATAACTGTGGTTTTGTAACATGCTTAAGGCCTGGTCAACAGTTCAAATTTTATAGGCTTAGAAGGAACCATGACGCACAAATGAATGCCCCTGAGACCACAATCATCAACAATTTGTGCACCATTGATTTGTCATCTTTTTCTCTCCCTGGTTCACACCAGCTGAAAATTGACAGGAAATTGCCTGTTAATATGTCACCTACAGGCAGACAGAGATGACACTGCTGTGATTGTTTCGTGTGGCAAATGGCTAAGCATTAGTTTAGTGTTCCATTGACAGAAATGCAGTAGGAGCAGCAGAGGATGCTATCTATGTGTGTGTGTGTGTGTGTGTGTGTGTGTGTTCTTGGGATGGTGGGTGGTGGAGCATGAGAGTGCACTCTGATGACAGATCATTTCATGCCTTTTCTATTGTGACCACCTGAGTGTGAGGGTGTGCTCATCTGGCTCATCGTGTTTTTGTCTCTGTCTTGCCACTCTCCTTTTTAAGTGCAGCTTACTGGCTCACTATGGCAACCAAAGGGGCTCTTCTCGCTGCAGCAAGGTTAATGAGTGTTGTGACAGCACATTGCCAGCCTATTATTATAAACCTTATACCAATACAAAAGGGAATTGGGATGGTTTCAAAAAGACCCTCTGCTGACCTCAGATTTCCCTTTATACCCTTGTGTGACTCATTTGAATTTGGTGGCAGAAAAAGACACTTTGCCTATGACTAAAATAAATTACAAATGACAAAAGATTACATTAAATTTAACAAATTTTAACAAATTTATTAATGGATAACCCCTTGAGATGAACCATCTCGTTTTCACGGGGGTCCAACATAGAACATATAATACAATACAACAACACAATGACATACAGCATGCATAAGGCTCTCAATTACCAACCAACCCACACATCATTCCTGTAAACCCACAGTACCCACACAGAGTAAAAATAAATACCAAAAAGCATATCATCTAGTGCCAATCATAATGATATTAGTATTGACATTAATAATGATGACAATAATAAAAGGTAATACTACTACTACTACTACTACTAATAATAATAATTATACCATACATTATACATAAATACATATGCATATACAATAATAATAGCAATGTTAATAATACAGGTACAGAGGACAAAACCATTACAAGGAGTTGCATGATGTTTTGAGAAAGTAAAATAGTGAATTTTTAAAAATGCAAGATGAATTGATTGTTCGAATATTGTTAGGTAGAATGTTCCAGTCCGATGGAGCTTTAAATTTGAAAGCACGTCTGCTGAATTCTTTATTAGTTTTAGGAACAAAGAAAAGGTCTGAGAGGATATGGAGATGTGAATGGGATTAAATATTGTTTTAAATAAGGGGGACAGTTGAAATTAATACATCTGAAGATAAATTGGAGCTAATGGTAATGTCTTCTTGTGCTGAGTGGTAACCAGTTCAAAGATTCATACAAGGAGCAGTGATGTGTTCGATATGGGCACCATAAGATAAATCTGCAGAGACTATTGTAAATAGCATTGAGGGGTTGAAGATGTGTTTGAAAAGTGTTCTGATAAACAATGTCAGCATAGTCCAGAATAGGTAGTAATAACTGAGTAACAATTCTTTTTCTGATCTGAAGGGTAAAACAGTTTATGGAACTGTAGAGTATGGCTAAATTACGACTTGGTAATTAAAATATATTCTTGTAATCATCCTACGGTTCCTTCTGAATAAGAAACAAACTTGCTGTTTCTCTTTTAAAGCTCCAGTGTCCAGGATTTAGGAGATATACTGGCAGAAATAGAATAAATATATTTTCTTTAGCGTACAATCACCTGAAAATGACAATTGTTGTGTTTGCATTACTTCAGAATGAGCCATTTGTATCTACGTATGGAGCAGGTCCTTGTCTACAGAGTTTGCCATGAGGTATTGCCATGTTTCTGCAATTGCCCAGAACAGACAAAGCAAACACTGGCTTAAGATAGGGCCACTTGTGTGTTTGTGTCGGTCACCGTGGTTAGCAGCCCCTCCACAATAAGTAAAGTTGGGGAAACACAGTTTTTTTTATCATTTGTAAAACTGCTTTTTCAGTGTTTTTACGGTTTAAATCACCAGGTCTGTTTGTTTTGAAGTGGGAGACCGTGACAGAAAATTTGTCTTCCAATAAAAACCTTCTGAACGTCTGGATCTTAAGTTATTAGAGAAAAAGTGAAACACTTTATTCCTTGTTTTACCGGTTTTAATCACCATGTCCATTTGTGCAGGAAAGGAAGAGACCTCAGTGGATAATTTGGTTCCTGGAAAAACTTCCCAAACAATAAACCCTGAAGCCTGAGTTTTGCTTGCTTGTTTTGGAAGTGTCAGATTCTTTCATTTGGTTCAGTTCGTTTGAGCTCGTGCCCAGATAACAGCAGTGATTAGGTTGATTGATTGATCCATTCTGTGGGTCCCTAACCTCTTAGAAATTGGCTTAATTTTCTGTAACATTTGTTTGTCTGGTGAACAATTTGTGCTTATAGATATATTGATTTGAACATTTCATTGAGCCTCTGGTGGTAACGCCTCTAGATCCCTCAAAGCCACTCTTCACTTCATTATGTCACCTCACTGTATCAGGCTGGCTGGATGATGATGACTCACAACACAAATATTAAATAGTGATTTTCTTCACTAATGAGGATGTGGAGGTGTCCAGCGTTTGAATCAGAAAGAATATCCAAAAGCACAAAATATTGACCAGATGTTTAGCTTTGAGTGTGTGTGTGTGCTCATATTACCAATCAGCACTGGGCATGTTTACATGTACATTGATTACTAACTGTGTTCACACCATATTCTGTAAGTAATTTCATTTTTTTCCTGCTCTAACATCATAACAAAGTCAAAGACATGTGATAATGTGATGCAGAAATATCCTGAAGCTTTTGGGAAACTTCAGTATAAAACTTCAGGAAATTTCAGTACTGTAAAATATTTCCAGGTACGGTATCCCAAACACAAAAACACATGTAATTTCTGTGTTACAAACCTTTGCTGCTCCATCAGAGTAGCCCTGTACAGGTGTGTGCTGATCACTACCATCTTTCGAGATGCCACAGACTGTGTGCCCACTGAGACGGTTTGTGGAGGGTCAGTTTGGCATCCTTAATCCTGGAATCTGGCTGTAGTGGAGAGGTGTTGGACACCAGGGCCCTACTGTGATGTACTCTAAAAGACAAAGGAAAATTAAGTATCATAGCTCAAGCTAGCCGCAGTTAACTGCTGAGATCGGGCATCACACATTAAAAAGTCGACCCTTTTGTCAATATGGACATGCTGCACATTGTTAGCTCTGTTAGATTCTCCACAATCCAATCGTTAAATTCATCTTACTGAGACTAGCAGTTTATCTTACTGTAGTATGCCGCACAGCAAAAGCATTTCAAAACAATAACATTGGTTATCCAGTTAGCCGAGACCTACAGCTATAATTCACAATCAATACGGACATGCGAAACACTGTTAGCTCTGTTAGATTCTCCACAATTAAATTGTTAAATTCATCTTATGGAGACCACCCAGCTAGCAGTTTAACTTACTGTACGCCAAGTAGCAAAAGCATTTTAAAACAATAGCTTTGGTTAGCCAGTTAGCCGAGGCCTACAGCTAAGCACTGGGTCTACATTAGCTCCTACAGCCATCTACTCCACAACATTCGGTAGCGGCGTCTCCTAGACATGGTGTCTCCTCAGCAGCTCCTCAACAGTTCAAACCTTGCAGCCTCTGTTCCGACTCTGCTCGGAGCAGGTGTGTTTGACGGTGTGGCTCAGTGGCCGGCAGGTGGGCACTGTGTGCATTGCTAATTTGTTACATTGTTAGCAAATAACTTCGCGGAAGTAAAGGCGGGAAATTCAGACAAGCTGTCAAATTATTATTATGTTTTTTTACTTAGCAGACTTTATAGTGGCAGAAAAATGCTAGAACACAATAAAGAAAAGGAAAATCCCCAAAAAAGCATAACAGGTCCTCTTTAAAGCAATTGTGCAGTTTTTCTGTGGGAACATACGTAGCATGATTCGCGGTTCATTATGGTAAAAAGCTTGTTGAAACAGAGCAGAAACATTACACACCTCACTATCACTGAGAGATAGAAGGATGGATGAACTTATAAAGGCTACCGGGTTCAGAGGGGATGTGTGCTCATGATTACATCTCAGGTTACTGCTTTGTGTTCTCTGTAAGCAGGGGAAGGACAGGAAGTACACTTAGCCAAGTTTGTAAGCTTGACTTTCACTTTTGGGCAGTTTCAAATTGTTCTTTTATTTGGTTCAGTGTTTCTGAGCTTGTGACCTGACAACACCAGTAATTCAATGGCTTTGTCAATTGATGGATCCATTCCATGCGTCCCTCTCCATTTGCTGTTCCTCCTGGCAGCACAGACCACCAGCCACATGTAATAAATCAACACTTGCTTGCTTCCAGAAATACTCAATTTCTTTGATTTTTATTTTTGCACAGGTAACATTCAAGTTTGGTTTATATCCACAACAGTAGAGAAGCATCACTTTACAAGGTCCATCTAATTCTTCAACAGGGCACAGCCAGTGAGGCGACCCTGATGGCCATGCTTGCTGCTCGCTGTAAAGCAGTACGACGCATTCAGTCCTTGAACCCTGAGAAATCAGAGGCTGAAATCCTCTCCAAACTGGTGGCATACACCTCTGAGCAAGTAAGCATAAAGATCTTTTTTCAATCTTATTTCATGACCTGTTCAGTGCAGTTCCTACGCTAACTCTGGTCCCTTTAACTTCACTCAGATTTCTGACTTTACACATACAGTTTATTATTTTCTATTTTCAGATATTAGTAATTTATTTTGTTAAAATATGCATTCATCAATGTTTTTTAATTACTGCTTGCAAATGTACCCAGGCAAGGTTTTTTTGAGGTTTATACAAATAATTTAAAGTCTCAACTGAGCTCTGTAAACGGTCTCATTCAACAAGTGGTCCACATGAGCTGAGATCATTAAAGGTTACCTCAGTAATAGTGAGGATAGTTTTTCAGTGATTTAGTGAGACAGAGGGTCAGCCAGGCAGCTTGTATCTCGCTCTGATCAGGTTTAATACCAGGCTGGCTCTGTGATTGGGTTAGGGAGTTGCCTGAGGGCCACACAGACCTTTACAGAGAGAGCAGTTTGTTGTTTTCCTACTGAGGAACAATGTTCTAATATCCGGGTGTACATGTCTAAGGTATAATGTTTTTTCTTTTGGCATAGTTATCTATATGTGGATGATCAGTAATATATGATTGAAGCTCTGAGGTGGAGCATGGTACAGGCTTATCTCAAAATTCAACAAACACAAAGGAGGAATATCAGGTTATAATATGTACTCTTTGTTTCCAGTATTATCATTTTAACAAAAGTGTGGCTTTTGTTAGTTGAAAGTTCACCCATAATTTAAATGTATTTTTTACTTTGAACACTTGAATTTTATGGTTTAAGGTTTTGTAAGGTTCAACATAAACACTATCTTATCCTAACTAACAGATTCTAACAAATGATTTACCATATAAAATCACTCAGTATCCAGGAATTTGAATGAAATTAGCTGATTTTACAAAAAGCATGAGGCCATTTAATCCTGGGATCTTACAATTCACTTAGGCTACATTTCTCACAAATGTTGCATATCTCTCCTCCTAAGGCTCATTGCTCAGTGGAGCGTGCTTCACTGATTGCAGGAGTGATGATAAAGAAGGTTCCCACAGACAACAGCTACGCTGTCAGAGCGCCCATGTTTAAGGAGATGCTGGAGGAGGACAAAGCAGCTGGACTCATCCCCTTCTATGTAAGAAAAGACAAAAATGAACATCCATCCACCCAACTTTCACAGGGCTAACACACAAATGACAGATACAGACATCTCAAACATTAGCCCATAAGAACCCGGACCAATTTCTCCTTAAAGGAAAATTATGGGAGGCATAAAACAGACTAAATAGACCACATATAACATATTTCTGACATTTTTTTCAAAATACCACCCCTCACTGTCAGAGATCTGTAATGTTACATATATGTCACATTGGGCGTTAAGAACCTGGATAATTTATCCATCAAGGAAAATTATGGGGGACATAAAATAGACTAAATAGACCATATAGAACACATTTCTGACATTTTTCTCAAAATAACACTTATTAGTGTCAAAGATCTGTCAATGGGTGTTAATGGTAAATTCATTCCTCTTTTGAAACTTAATCAGCCTTAGTCTTTTTTGGTTTGATAACAAAGCTTTGTCTTTTTATTTGCGTTTCCACAATATCATAACTTTACCTCTTAGGTTTAACAACAAAATCTTTAACAACAAAATTTTGATTTATTTCACAATACAAAAATTTGTAAATTGAATTAAAAAAAAGACTGCCTCATCATATTGGAGGTCTTCTCAACAAGCCATTGTAGCTGTAAAAAAACTGAGCTACAGTCTTTTTCTGGTCATGTTTTTCTGTTTGGTAACAAAGATTCTAACTTTACCTCTTAGGTTTAACAACAACATTTTCTTTTCATATTTGTTTTACAACACACAAATGAATACATTTGCAAAAATTTGCAAATTGAATAAAAATACAAACTACTACTGGGTAGTTGTATTTTGCTGTCCAGGGTTCATCTTTGGTTGAGGTACTTCATCTAAATCACCTGATTCACTGCAGTCTGAATCACTAGACTCACTTGACTTGTCATTCTCCATGTCTTTGTTGCTGGGAGTGTAATCAGGGTCTTCAAGGTCGTCATCTGAGCTACTTTCACATCCCTCAAAGTCACTGTCGTCTCCCTGGATGACTGTCAGTGCATCCTGAACACTGTATCGCTTCTTATCCATAATGCAGATAAAAATAAATTACAATTTTCAATTATTCTTTTCAATTTTTATTATTTATTTATTTTCATTAAATTTTAAAATGATATAGGGTAGAACAAAGTGATATAGGGTCTGTTTTTTTATTCACTGATGGGTAAAAATGGTTTCCTTATATATTTTGTTAATAATTGGATTCATATAATGTGATTTTTTGTTTACATTTGTTTTAATATGCTTTGAATTGAACAATATAAAATGTATTAACTAAATATCATTGAAAAAGTTAAGTTAACTGAGCAGATCATAAAAAAATTTCTTATTGTGACATATATGTCACAATAGGTTTTCCATGACAATTTTAAGGTTAAAGGTCCGATGTGACATATATGTCACAACGATATTTACCTGACTTGTTTTATATCAATTTGTTCATGAAATGTGTTCACAACAGGTTAAATGTAATAAAGGACTTGTTATGTAAACATTACAATTCTTAAATGGTTTGAATCTTACCTTTGGCAACCAAAAACAAACTTTTTAAATTTAGCTAGCTCTGCCCCTGGTGGTAACCTGGCACACAGACATCTTGGAAATGTTGTTGTGGGAAGACCAAACCACATGTCACATGATCCACCAGGATGTTAAGTATGTGTCACTCTGGGACTTCATGAGTTAAAGTCAAGGAGAAAGCTGTTCATGGAATTTTCCAGAACATTTAAAGGAGTGTGTGTGGCACCTGTGTCACAGTGGGTTCTTATGGGTTAAATTCATTTTTCCATTGGGTTACAGGCATCTGTCTGTGGATTGCTTTTGCTACACATGTAAATCTTAGAAACACTAACACAGCTGCTCACTGAGTTGACAGTTACAATGATACAATGTGTGATGCTGCTGTGCACAGCCTGAGGCTTCTGCTGAGGGATAACATTGTTTGTGTTGGACAATAATCCGCATCTCAGCTGGACCCACAGATAACTATCAGTGAACAACATTCAAGACGCTGCAATCGTCCAGCAGCTCTAAATGATCTGTGTGTATTCAAAGTGATATCCAGAGTTACGTTTGAAGGAAAAAAATATCTGTGCTTGTATCAAAGCTTTACAGTAGTTGCAATGTGTTTTATTTGCTTGTACACAGTTATCATGATCCAATCTCTGACAGAACATAGAAAACACACAAGTACCAAAGCGCTTCAGGATGTTAATGATTTGCAAATGTTTTTCTTTCAGTTATGTGCGACCCTCGGCACCACCCCATCATGTGCTTTCGATCGCATCTCAGAGCTGGGGCCCATATGTAAGTCAACTGTTGGATCAGCAATTGTTTTTCATTTACAAAAGTAAACTTTAAAGCCCTATTGGCATCATTAAACTCTTTCAATAGACACTTTAATTTAAGAAATTCTGGGATGTTTAGAGGAGAAATCCAGATCAAAAGGTAGGCAGGGTGTATGTAAGAAACTTTTATGCTCTGTGTTGTGGCAATTTTGCAATTCTACTTTGATAAAAGAGGAACGAGACAAAAAATTCTTACAGAATGTTGACACTTTATTAATGCACAGAGAATGGTGCACAAAGGTTAGTTCAAAGAGTTCACTGCCAAGAGAAGCTGTTCACATCCTTCATACCTTGGAACAGTCCCACCCCTTGTGCTCTGTTCTGTCTGTCAGCCAAGGTGATTTCTTACCACATTGGCTTTTCAGATAGGTTTAGGTTTAGGTTCATTCTTCATGCAAATCAGTAGTTTTTCTGTAATCCTGCTCAAAAACACACAAACAAACCAATAAACAAACCAAAAACATGCCGTCTTTGCAGAGGTAATAATACATGATTACACATGAATTAAAAATCTTTAGGGTATTTCTAATTAAGACAGTCAATCTTGATTATGTGAAATAAATATATTAAAACATGATTACTGCAACCAAGAATGCTGCTTGAGTGTGTATGATTGAGAAACAAAAAGTGATGCATTCAGGCAGCTTTCAAAAATATTCAGTTATAACTTTCTTAAGTATTTTATCGTAACATCTTCAATTATACCCAGCTAAAAACAACTTGTCATACAGTGTTATACCTCAGGTTATTAAATATTGATTTTCAAAAGTAATCATTTCACAGGTGTTAATAACCTCTGTATTTCTTGTCCCTTTCAGGTAATGACGAAAATATGTGGATGCACATTGACGCAGCATATGCAGGGAGTGCATTCATCTGCCCTGAATTCAGACCTCTGTTGAATGGCATTGAGGTGTGTAAAAAGATACATGCATCCATGTTCATATAGAGCATGAACACTGTAACACAATACGGAAAAATGTTTTAGTAACAAAGTTTTGACATGGTTGGATTTTAACCTTGATCATTCCAGATTTAATATAAGTGCGGTTGAAAACTTGAAGTGTGCATCCGTCTGTATGGATACATGTTGCTGCTGAATGACAAGACAACCTCCTTCTGTTCAATTGGTTGTGAAATATCTCTCATAGCATCTATAAAGGGAAACACTAACTGCATACTGATTGTACCCGGCTGCTTTATTTCCGTTTGAAACTGGCATAACGTTAATGTCAAGGAGGAAGCATGCAAGAGTGAGTAATAGGCCGAACAATCGGCATTAGCACAGGAGCATCAATCTGCCTTTTGAGGCTGCCGAGGCAGCTGTTGCTCCCCGAGCTGTGCAGAGACGCAGAGATAAGGACAGAGTAATTTCCTGAGGCAGCGTTAGACCTTTATATTTCACTGTTTATTAGACACACCAGTTGAAACTATGTTGGTGGGGAGACAGTGAAAACTGACTTGACTGTAAATGGACCAACTGTTGTTTCACCTGTTCTCCTACTGATAGTTAACCTGAAAATTAGCTATTGGATGTGTACAGTTACATATTTTCAGGTCTTGTGTAAAGATGTGGATAGGAGATTTCAAATCCACAAACTTCTTTAAACCACATGCTATTACCTTCAGTAGAATTCATAAACTGTGGTTGTAGTATAAATTTTGAAACATTACGAGGTCAATGACAATTATTAAATGAGGAAATGAAGATGGAACCCAGTCTTTTGGGATGAGAGTGCAGCCCTGCTGGAGGGTTGGTTGCTAGGATATGAGTAATGGGCGAGCAGGCAACCAGCCCCCTTTGAATCAGTCAGCATGGCAACTGTCAACCAGGAGTCTGTCTCACATTGTCTCTCTATGCTGTTATTGCATTTGTGGAGGTAGAGGAAAGGATATTACAAAAGATAGCCAACAAACAGATGAAAATAGATTAGGAAAGGTTTGTCTCTCTCTGAATGAACACTGCCAGGAAAGGGTTATTTTCCCTGTACTCTGCTAGCTGTTGGCTGGGTTTCCTCTTTTGCATTTCAAATAAATTGTGCCTGCTTTAGTCCAGATAATGTTGTTGGTGAAAAGGTTGTCCTTGCGTCAGTAATGATAAATGAAGATGTATTACGGTGTATGTTTTGGCCAACACACAGTTATGCTAATGTTACATGAAAAATATTAGAACTTTTATGAGCAGCTATTACATTTAATTTTCCTTTTGGCTACCTCATAGGTCTTCCAAAAATATGCAGCAGGACTGTATATGCATCCTTCACTGATACCAATACCAATACTGTTCATTTTTCTTATTTCCTAGCTGTCAGTCCAGAGAGACATCAAACAATGTGGTTTAATTACAATTTTTTCTTTTCTTTTTTCAATTTTTTTTTAAGTATGCAGACTCTTTCAACTTCAACCCACACAAATGGCTTTTAGTCAACTTTGACTGCTCTGCAATGTGGTGAGTTATGCATACATTTGTACATGTCATTCGTATCATATTCACATTTCTAAAGTGATGTAATTAAGATTTTCATCAGGAAGATGAAGGGGATAGTGGATGGCGTGAGTTTGGGGGACATTAGCCATGTTTGTAGCAACCAAACCAAATTTTTTAAGGTAAAACATGATCTATTCCTATCCCTAATTTTGCCACACATTTAACATGATGTTGTCATAACACAAAAATAAAAACTGAAACATCAAGAAATGCAAAATTCAATTCAATCCGCTACATATGACAATTACAAATTTAACATTTAACATTTATCCTGGCGATTGGTTTATTTGACACCAAGACCTGTCTTACAAAAGGAGAGTTATCTGTTTGTTTTGGGAGTTTATTTTAGTCCCTAGCACCTGCTAGCTTTTCTAATTTGTCAGAATATTTACCAGTTTAATTTAGACTGACTCATAGTCCCATAAAGGAACAACGAGTCGCCCATTTAAAACTGATATCCATCCACACCTCAATTATTTGCACACTAAAAATAGAACTGCGCCTCCCATCTGCCCCTTCTGTCAGCAGCAAACAAAGTGAGACATGCTCTGCACAAGATGGAAACAGAGGTGTTTCAAACATCCACATGCTGTGAGAGGAAGAGGCTTTTAAACCCTTTTCCATCTACTCTGGCTCAGTCTGTCACTACTGACATGATACCTGTCTGTTGCCACTCAGATGTTTGTCTGTTTTGTCTGGCACATGCACAACAATTACTGTGGGTTACTTTACAATTTTACATTTTATTAACATATTTTGCTCAATCTACTTGTGATAATGCAGATACAACAGAATGACTATATAATAGACTATACTGTGCAGTCTAGTACAATAAACTAATAATATAATGTATTACAGTATATCAAGTGTGTGACACATTAAACTAGTTCTAAGTAGGGCCATAATAATTACAAGACCTTTTTTTTTTTTTTTTTTTTTTTTTGCATTGGGCTATTAAATGGCCCAGCACTATTTGGCCTAAAAGGCGCTGTATGTAAGAATGTGGCCAAAATGGTTACTGTACTCAAATTCAAAATACTGCCGTGAGTCGTGTCCGCCCCCCCTCCCCTACAGATTCGAGGTTGCTGCTCTGTGCTGAATTGCTGCGTTGTGCTCCGGCGTCCGGTGTTCTAACACCAGCAAAAATAGAAGTCCTGCATATCTGTTGCGGAGGGCTCTGGAGTGCCGCAGCTGAGACGGAGCCGGGACGCAGCATAGCCGCAGCCGGTGGAAACACACACACATTGACTACAATTGAATCCTATCGGCTCTGCCGCCGTGCCGGAGCTCAGATGCAACCAACATGCATCTGGTGGAAATTGGGGGTGATTTGTTTGCCCACGGGCGGCTGCTATGGCAGGGCTGCGTCGCCGCGTCCTTGATCTTCGGTTTTCCAGCGGACCGTTCGAGCAAGTCCGGCTTCTCTGCTGCTAACGCTGCTGCCGGGATACAGCTGAGGAGGAGCCGGCTGCTTGCCGTGCTGCTAACGTTTGTTTCCCAAAAAAATCAGTCGGGTCGATGACCCACCTGCACATGGGCTACAATGTATGATCGAAAATGAATGAATGAACAGTTGAAAGTATTCGAAATGTCCATCCCCGTCTAGCTATGATGCTAGTTAGCCAACTTTGGCTAAAGCTTACCTGTCGAGGAGAAGAGTAGTCACTTCGACATCCGATTTCAAATTCTTCTCCGCTTTCAACCGTCTCCACTGTTCAAAAGCATCTCCTATATAGACCCTTGCTTTGCCTCGAGTTTTCTCTTGGCGTTTTTGGGAATCATAATGAGGTCGTTTGGGTTTAGTCGCACTGTCAGCCATTGTAGCTCAGTCGTAACTGTAAATGATGCTGAGACTCTACTGACTGCGTGACTGGTAGACAGCGGTGGGTGGTGCAACAGGCCAAAACACAAGTTCAAAACATAAACATGATTTGCAGACCGCAATTTTTTTTTTAAAATGTGAATATTCTGGCTGTACTATTGTCTGTGAGATCAGTATGTTATATAAACATTATTCCTTAGTCTCTGTGACATATTAGGAGGATTTTATGACTATTTGCTTTAGATTTCTTACATATAGCTCCTTTAAGTCTGTTTCTCTCTGCTTGTTAACACCTGTCAACAGGGTGAAGAAGAGAGAGGACATTATTGGGGCCTTCAAGGTGGAACCACTCTACCTGAAACACGAGAACCAGGAGTCAGGTATGGAGTCATTTCACTTAAAGTATTTGAATCAATGATCACAGGTCAGGTCGGATGAAAATGTGGTCTACTGCACAACATAATGACAAAAATAAACAGCTGCGACCTTGTTTATTGTTCTCTCTGTGAGGATGGTGGTTAGTTTGCCTATCTGAGCCAAAATACACACATCTGTTTCAACAATAACTGCTGGAGCATTGCACCACATCCTAAAAGGCATCATAGCGTAGCCTTAAGCAGATAAACACAGGCACCAAGATGACTGTGTGACAACCAGACAAGTGTGTGTGAGAATGCTGTTGTGTATCTATGTTTGTGAGGACCCACCTGAGTTAAAGACCTTGAGAAGGGGGACACGTTTGAAAGTGAGGACAGTTTTGAGTGAGTGAGACTTGGTTTCACCTGGTTTCGCATTTTGTCTGCAAAGGTTAGGGTAGAGTGTGTGTGTGTGTGTGTGTGTGCTTGTACATGCTGCATAGTGAAGACCAAATAAAGTATTTTACCAACAAAGTGAGGACATTTTGGTCCGTCCTCACTTTTTTAAAGGTCTGTTTGAGGGTTAAGACTTTTTGAGCTTTGAGGTTTTGGGGTTCAGGTTAGAATTAGGTTTACGTTAGGTTTAGAGTAAGGGTTGGGGTTAGGCAATTAGTTGTGATGGTTAAGGTAAGGCCAAGGGGCTAGGAAATGCATTTTGTCAATAAGTTGTGTGTGTGTGTGTGTGTGTGTGTGTGTGTGTGTGTGTGTGTAAGTGTGTAAGTGTGTAACTGTGTAAACACTGGCTTCTATGAGTGATCTTAATAATTTTCTCATTCTATTCTACCCGAAGTTAAGCTGACTTACTGTATTTGGGACCTAATTTGATTAATGCATTTCATTAACATCATGGAAATTGTCATCAGACATGAAAATAACTTTAAAATATCCCACATTATGTTTCAGCGTCTGTGTATATGTGTCTACTGTGTGTGCTGGTGTACATGCTCCTACCATGCAGATGGGCTCAGATCTGCACTATAATTTGTCACACAGACAACCGGACAGAGAGACAGACAAACAACTACCTCCCACCACACTGAGGCACCTGACAAAAGCCTTTCGCTCATACAATCTGGACTCTTCAATCTAATTAGTGGTTATTAGCACCAGCTAACGTGGGCCTCCATTCTGTAGAGATGAGCTCTCTATAGCTGGTCTGTGTGGACTGACGTGTGCTGTGATCAGTGAGATAGAGGGGGTGGACACAATGACGGCAACACCTGGACAATGGAAGGCAATCCCAAATTCAACAGCTTTACAGTATATAATTTTCTGACGCTAATAATGTTCAAAGTCAAAGCGTTTTTGATTCAACTTTATCAATGTAAGATGAGCCTAAAGCAGCTTGAAAAGCTGCATTAACAATGCACATATTTAGTGACATTTTTAACTGACTCCTAAACTGTTTTTCTATCAACAGGGCTGGTCACAGATTATAGGGTAAGATAAATTAGTAATGATAATTCATTTTCTAAAATTTGAAAGAAATCTAATAATCCCAGTTAGCATCAAACTTGCAGAGGTTAAAGCTGTAACCATTCTCCGACATGCTTCATCCCCTGTCCTGCAGCACTGGCAGATCCCACTGGGAAGAAGATTTCGCTCACTAAAGATGTGGTTTGTCTTCCGTTTGTATGGACTCCATGGCCTGCAGGCTCATATACGCAAGGTAGGAGACCAACTGAATAATCCATCATGTCCACTTCGATTGAACAGTGATCTGACTGCAGTTATAGTCTGAGATCTCAAGATTTAATCTTGTTGTCTGTTCCTAGTGGACAGACTAAGTTGGAAAAGAAAGCTTTTGTGTGCTCTGTTCTCTGATTTTAAACTGAGATAGCGGATCTTTCTGCTCAAATTTAAAGCACTCATAAGTACAAGGTTGAATGAATTGGCAGATACTGTTATTTTAAGATTTCAATATGTTAATGTATATCTTTTCTGTTTTTTGTGGTTGGTGTTTGTCTATAACCTTTTTTCTGTTGTCTTGACCATGTCTCACCTGAGAAAGAGCTTGTTGATCACAACAGGACTTATCTTGTTAAATATAGGAAATCTATATGTGCCTTTAATTTCCTGTTTAAAACCTAATAATTTCTGCGTTTATATTTATTTCTTTTTTAAAATTCTGACACACATAACCCAAAACTTTCATGCAGAAATCACTCTTATTAAAATACACAAACTCCCAACACAGTCCTTCAGATCCAAACACAAACAAGCAAGTTAACACTGATATTTACTAGAAAATACAGCCTTATACAGCCTTAACTTTTGAGTGACCTGATGTTCTGGCATAATATGCTATATTATAGCCACAGTGTTCTTATTAAACAAGTATCCCAGGTTGAAGCTTATTAGCAAAGACAGTACTCTGTGTATCAAAGATGCAGTAGCAGTGTATTTGCTTTGTTTGTTGCAGTCACTAATGTCACAACAATTGTATTACAGTGTTACTAGGAGAAGAGGCGGTTGCCCATCTCAACCAGAGACTCTGTTGAAGGTTAACTGTGCCCACTCACAAGATAATTAAACTCAGAAAGACACTTTGTTTATTAGCCTTTGTAACAGTAAATTCACTTTATTGGTCGTGTTGATTCATGACTTTTACGATTTTACTTAATGGTGTTAAGTGGTGTTTGTATTGATGCAATGGTTTCTATGGCACATTACAAGACAATAAATTACATTTATATAGCAGTATAATGTTTCATTTTGTGCTAAAAGTCTGGTGTTTGTCCAGAGGAGAGTGAGGTGTTGGTTTTATGTTATAGTTTTGGGAAATAGAGTTTTACACAATATTAGCTGTCAAAAAAAAAAACCCATTTGCTATTAGCAGCGTAATCCAGCAGTGCTATTAACTTAATCCAATCCTGACTTCATTATACATGACTAAAAGATTAGAACAGGGCTGACAGTGGTGAGCGTCATTCTTCGTATTTTCTTCCTCTCTGAATCTCATTCCTACTCACTCACTCCTGAGAAAGAAAAAAAAAACACTTTTAATGATCACATATGCCCGATCTGTATGGTAAATGTCATCTCTGTCCTCCCTCCCACACATCACCCCACATAATCCTCCTTACCACTAAAGTCCATTCACTGCCCTCATCTCTGCCTCCATCAGCACATCCTGTCAGTCATATGGGCCTGGTCTGTATCTTCTTATTATAGCAACATTTTCCTACATTTATCCTCCTTTGCCCCTCACCCATACCCACCCTTTTCTCCAGCCATTTCTCTCTCTGTGCTTCAAACGTCTCTTCCCCTCATATTCCCCTTCCCTCCCCCCAGTCTGCTCTGTCAATCAAATCAGTCTGTTTTATGTTTATTCTCCATTTTAAATGAAGCGGCAGAAGCAGAAGTGATCCCTGCAGCCATAAACCATGACACACTACTCCATTGTACATCCGCTAGAACAGCTTCAGTCTTCTGTAGCTGAATCTTGTAGAGTCAGACAATGTGTTCAAATGGAAATACAGCATGTGGTTGTACTGCCTGTGAGTTTACTCTTTCCCAGTAAAGAGAAACAAATTAAAATTCTACTTTTTTTTTTTTATAAACACCAATGAATTGTCGTCCCAGGAGAAAAAGGAGTTGTAAAATGAAGCATTTTAATGACGCATGTAGAATAGAAGACCTACCTGGTAATTAGCAGACAAACGGGGTCATTGTAGTATATTGGCTTGTAAACACGTATGAGTGATGGTGAATTACTGGCTGGGAATGAGGAAACAAGATGGTGGTCAACCAGTCAGTCATTTAAGCCTTGTTTAGCTTCATTAGGGAGGCAGGAAAAGTACAGTTGAAGTTGTACCATATAATTGTGATCAGATGCAGTGATGCATATCCAGAGTTTCACCATGCATTTAGTGTCCTGGTGGGCTCTTTGATCATAAGTGGATAAACAGGAGCATGTTTGAGTGTACATTGCCATTTGGGAATGACTTAATAAGAGTGCAATGACATTTCTTGAGAGCAGATTTTGATACAGACTATTTCATGGTTACCGAGTCTTGGTTTTGAACTTGTTTGAACTTCTAGGCAGTGCCTCCTACCAGGATGTGCACTAACCCTCTCAACATGCCCTTTTAATCAAATGCATTCAGTTATCGATGGTTACAGATGGTGACATTTACACTCCTGGGCTTTGGTTGCAGGGTACAAACTGAATCAGTCTGAAAAGTCCTGTGATTTTTATGGCTGAATGCACTGTGGCATGTAATGAAACAGCAATGCCATCTAGTGGAAATTATAGAAATTGCAGCCTTTAGTAGAGATGCTTTCAAGCAGCCAGCTGTTTTCTTACAGAGGTCATATGTGAAGCCAGGCAACCATTTCCACATTTTTTCAGTGGAAATGCTCTGTGACACTGTTTATAACCTACTACTGTATAAATAACTCTTTGTCCTTTCACTTGCTCATTAAATTTAGTTTGCAGTTTCTTGAACATTAGACATTCTCAGATCTCTGCACACTAATTAAAGCATGTGGGCATAAGAACAGTGCAAGTGTACTACTTTCATCTACATGCACCTTATATCCTTAGGTGCATTTTACAAACTGTGCATGAGTCATAGCACATTATAATCTATGTCTTCAATAATCTATGTCTTCTCTTTACAGCAAGTGGCCCTGGCTAAAGAGTTTGAGAGTCTGGTAAGAGCAGACAAGAGGTTCGAGATCTGTGCAGAGGTCATCATGGGACTGGTCTGCTTCAGGCTCAAGGTAACAACACTCAGCATCATAAACCTAAGATAACTTGATAAATCCAGTGTGGTCCTGTACAAAAGTTCCTTACCCTGTAAAACTAATTTCACACCTATTGTAGATAGATTACAGTAAGGATGCACTCACAGATCTGAGAAGGGAGGTTCAACTATCACTACAGAAGTCAGCTAAAAAATCCTCATCAGTTTGATCAGATGTTGTTTTCATTGGCAGAGGAAAGCTGAGGGCTATAAGTTATATTAATAATGTTGAATATGGTGTTTCAGAAGGTGATATACATAGATTTTCTATACTGTAGTGGTTCAGTCTTTCTTACACACATTACCTACTCTTCAAATGGCTAAATAGGCATGTGAAACTCTACATTACATACTAGCGTGTTTATGAATGTGATATTGAATATGGGAAAAAGATGGATAGTGTGAGTCATCTCCTTGTCCCTTCTTCTCAGGGCTCTAATGAGTTGAACCAGCTGTTGCTGAAAAAGATCAACAAGAGCAGAGAGATCCACCTGGTGCCTTGCCAGCTCTCTGGTCGCTTTGTCCTGCGCTTTGCCATCTGCGCACGCACTACTGAGTCATGTCACATCCAACAAGCATGGCGGCACATCACGCAGCTGACCTTTGAGCTTTTGCAGGAGCCCAGTCATTGACCAAAAGGCGGGATAGGGCTTGTCCACACTGATGCCGAAATTAGGACCAAAGTTAAGACAAAGATACTGGGTTTTATGTTGCAGATCTAAAATATCATAAAGGGAATGAGCAATGATTTCACAGCTCACTTAGTAGTAGGGGTGGGCGGATAAATGGTAAAATATTGATACTCTTGATACTATAGGGATCAGTTTCTCTCCTCTACGTCAGGGGTAATACTGTCTGTGCAATGTTCCATTGCCGTGAACACATCTAGTACATGTACTCTTTATGTCTCCATTGCTTTTGTGTTGTCTACATTCAAACAACTTACTGCAGACCCAGCAGCATCTTCTTAGTTTCACTTTTACCCAATGTCAGCAGTAGGAGGGCGGTAAGCTCACTTCCCAGCCGTCCCATTTACTGCTGGAGTCTATGAATACACACGCTTGCGCATCCACGTTACTATAGCTGTCCACAGACGTTCAATGTAGAAATTATGTCCAAGGATGACTTGTTTAATCAGACACATAATAGCAGTGATGGATTAATCAAAGAGGAAAAGGTGAGAAAGAGAACTTGGAGCTGCAACCAAAACAAGGGAGAAGGAGTGAAATGCATTAGCATCAAGACCTCTGACACAGAGACAGTGTTTACAGTCATTTCACTGAGGCTCAGACAAGGAATATCCTGGTAACAGCAGACTTGTGAAATAATATTTTAGTTTATTTTTCAGTGTTGGTAAATGTCACATTTTTAGACTGTAATTGGTCATCATTAGCTCTTATGTATAAATCCTGGCTTGCCTGACATAAAAAGAAAAATGCCACTTTTAATAATAAAAAGTACCGTATCAGTATCAATATCATAGATTCTGGCCCTGTGTTATTTGGAATCAGATTGAAACCAAGTTTTGTGGTATTGCCCACCCCTACTTAGCAGTCAGGTGTCTTCTTGTCTGCAGCCTGGTTATTAAGTATGTAAGCAGTGGTCATTATATTGCTAAGTTCACAATTTAATGTATGGGAAGAAAAAAAACGTATACACAACTACAAACACTCAAATGTGTATAAAAGGAAAGAATGTGTTCCAAATATTACATTTTCTATCTGCAACTTCTCCCTCCATTCACTTTGCTTTTATCTCTCACTCTTTCATGATTATATTATTGTTGTCATCTCAATGGAATCATTCCACTGCAGACCCTGTTTTTATTGTCTATGCTGCTTCTGTGTCTTCTGTGTAAAGAATTTGATTGGTTGAGGGTGATCTTTTTTAGTTTTGCAATGAATGTATTGCACATTGTGTGTGTGAATGAATATTGGAGTCTATGTGTTTCTGCAATTTTCTGTGGGGGTTCATAGAGAAACAGCTTTTTTTGTTTAGTGAAGAATTAGAAATGAATGGGTTGTAATAGTTTAAGAAAGATGACTTTATCACATTACCTCTGTAGATTGGCTATATATTGTATGAAGGGCTTCATAGAGCCTGTGAAGTTAAATAATTCTAACATTGCTCCAAGTAATCGGGTTTAACCCCTTTTTGTAAGTGTATTAATTTATTCAAATAATTGCGTTTAATATATAATTGTAGGCAAGAGCCTACCTTTTCTTTTGCTCTGACAAAATTCCTATTAATTCATCTAGTGTCTTATGCGAAGATGGTCAGCACCTCCCAACATTGTAGCACAAGACAGTCACTGTTTCACTGTATGTCACCTGGATGAGAAGGAAATGATGCTACTTTTAGGGGTATACAGGACCATTATTTGTTTGTTTACTGAACTTGATCCAAATCATTACAGTTACACAGGGAATTTATTAATGACACAGATCTAACATAGCCACCCTATACTGTATAGTATTAAATTACTGTATTCAGACAGAGATAAATGATCAAATGTGTAGAGTTATAAGAAAAGGGTTTAAAATCTAAGTTGTGTAAATGCTGCATACATTAATTATTCTTTGACTGCACACTGTCTAACACTGATTTGCCTATAAGATCACTCCTAGTTTATCATTCTGTGTACCAGGAAACTAGGGTCTGTAACACTCCTCACAATAGTCTCTCATGACATACACTATGTTTGACTTTAAGCCTTGGGATTTAAGATAGATTCACATGACTAACAAATGTAATTAATACAAGGCTAGTCTCCTGCTGGTTGTCCCCATCCATAACTTGTCTTGTCACTATGTAAATGTATAGTGTGACATCACCAAATGTTGCTGTTAATTCATACTTTCATGTCAAAGGATGCTGCTGTTGCTGATCAAGGTGTTTCCGTCTGGCTTGGCTGTGTGGTGCATGCAATTGTATGGGTTTATTTTAATAAAGTCTCCTGTAGTCTGAATGGTCTTTGGATCTTTCTTTTTATAATCCTCATTAAAGGTTTACAATTCATCAGGGTCATCATGACAATAAAACTGAAAAGGAGTGCCATGTTCTAAAAAGCTTTGGAAAACTACTGATCTACAGTATACTATGGTAGGAAATAGTTCTGCCTGGACCCAACTGTTGGAACCTCTTAACACAACATTGGCTCACACACAGACCATAACATATTAGACACCACCACATATCAGCCATGTCAAACTACTGGATGCAATCAGTGGTTATGTTTTCATGTATATCAGAGACAGAGTAGTGAAAATGCAGCCTGCTGTCCCTCTACTGCAGTGTACTCAATTAAAGATGACAGGCACACACACACACACACACACACACACACCATGCTGTGCCACTCAGCCTCCTCCTGAGCATCTTAATCCCTGAGGACAAAGGCCAGTGTTCTATAAATACAGATGAGGATTCAGTATTAGAGGTTAATTCTTAGCCCCTGATTACTATATTCACTTGCTCATTCACTTACTTCAGAAGCTACATTAAGATCATTCTGCAGGCAACGTTATGTCACAAAAATAGCTGTAGACAAGCAGAACGTCTCTATAGCAATTCTTTTGATCTGTTACAGTAAAACATCCACAATCATACAGCTACTTGAGAAAATGCCAAGAAACACAGTCGTGTTGATTCCCTGGTAGTACCCTCCAATATCCAGAAAGTATTAAATTGTTCCCTGAATAATGTATTGATTTAAAAAAAAAGTATGCTCTTAAAAATGTGCATCAACTGTGGCACCAATGGACATTAATTTCCAGTGCAGTGGTGAACCTCAAATACATCTTTAGTTTGATAGTAGTAAAGTGATGTAGTATAATATCCTATAAAAATTTCACACTATATTATGTTACAAAATTGTCATAGTATAGTATGCCATAAAAAAAGTCATAGTATATTATCTCATCAAACTGTCATCGTATGTCAAGTATGCCATTAAAAATGTTATAGTACAGTATGCCATTAAAAATGTCATGGTATAGTATTTAAAAAAAAAAAAAGTCACAGTATAGTATGCCATAAATGTGTCACTAAAATGCGACAAAAGATCGTTTTTTTGTACAGAAACAAATCCAGCTTTCCTTTATTCTGTAGGAAAAGAGTTGTTGAAGCTGTGTTGTTACCTGTCATTGATTATGGTGATGTAATTTACAGACATGCTGCAGCTTCAGTTCTAAAGCCTTTGGACAGTGTATATCACTCTGCTCTTAGCTTTATTACTGGTGATTGGTACAGAACACATCATTGTGTTCTGTATGAGAAGGTTGGTTGGCCTTCTCTGGATGAGAGGCGCAACAAACATTGGCTTTTATATATCTTCAAGGCCCTCGTTGGAAAATTACCACCTTACATCTCAACCTTGTTAGTGTGGAATGCTGGTAGCTATACAACCCGCTCTACCGATCTGCTACTTCTTAAAGTTCCTCGAGCATGTACTGAACTTGGTAAAACAGCTTTTTCTTTTGATGCTCCAAGCTCATGGAACATCCTCCAACACTCTCTAAAAATTCATGTTCTTCCTTCTCTTTCAGAGTTCAGGACTTTGATTTCTAACCATTGTGTTTCACATTGCAACTGTTTTACCTGATTCTATTTTATCTACCTTGTCACTGATGAGATTGTTGTTCACAGTGATTATTCTGTACTGTTTTTATTGTGCTGTGGTTCAAATGTGTCTGTAATCTCGACATCATTGGAAATGAGGGAAATCTCAATGTCCTTCGAGACTAAATAAAGGTTTGAAATGAAATGAAATGTTTTTCACTATCATATGTCACAACAAATACAATTAAAATGTCATGGTATAGTATTTGTTTTAAAAATGTCATAATATTGTATGACATTAAAAAAAAAGTCTTGGTATAGTATGCCATAAAAAGTTCACACTATAGTATGTCACAAAAATGTGATAGTATAGTATGCCATAAAAATGTCATAGTATAATTACCATAAAAAAAATTCACACTATAGTATATCACAGACATGCCATAGTATAGTATGCCATTAAGAAATGACATGGTATCTTATGTCATAAAAATGTTAAAGAATAATATGTCACAAAAATGTCATAGTATAATATGCAATAAAAATGTCATAGTATAGTTTGCCATAAAAAATGTCATAGTATCATATGCAATAAAAATGTCACACTATAGTATGTTACAAATATTTGACATAGTATAGTATGCAATAAAAATGTCATAGTATACTATGCCATTAAAAATGCTGTAGTATAGCATGCCATAAAAATTTTATAGTAAAGTATGTCACAAAAAATATAAAAGCATAGTATGCAATAAAAAAGTATAGTATGTAATACAAATGTCATAGTATAGTACCATAAAAAAAATCACACTATAGTATGTCACAAAAAATGTCATAGTATAGTATGCCACTGAGAATGTCCTAGTGTAGTATGTCATAAAAAATGTCACTTTATAGTATGCCATAAAAATTTCACACTAAGGTAATGTCACAATAAAATGTCATAGTAAAGTATGTCACTGAAAATGTCATGGTATAGTATGCCATAAAAATTTTACACTACAGTACATCACAAAAAATATCATACTGGAGTATGTCCTAATATAGTATGCGATAAAAATGTTACAGTGTAGTATTTCACAAAAAAATGTCATGGTATAGTATGCCATAAAATGTTATAGTATAGTATATCACAAAAAATGCCATAGTATAATGCGCCAATAAAATTTGACACAATAGTACATCACAAAAAAGTCATATCATTATGCCATTAAAAAATGCCATAGTATAGTATGCTATGAAAATTTCACACTAAAGTATGCCACCCAAAAAGAAAATGTCCTAGTTGCGTATGTCATTAAAAAAAAGTCAAATGTCATAGTACAGTATGCAATAAAAATGTCATTAGTATAGTATGCCATAAAAATTTCACTCTATAGTATGTCACTGGACAGCATTAGGAAATATGGACAGGGGGACAACATTTTCAAAAGTAGGCCCCTAATCCCCACCAAATCACTA